TGTATATTAGTGCAATATATAGTAATGTAATGCTTCCATAGAGCCCAATGTGTTCACTTATCAACCATCCCCCTGTTAATGATGGGCTGTTGTAGGTATAGTAGATATCATATAATTCATTGATTATCCACGTTTCTTTTAACATGTGTTTATAATGTTAGTTTCTTTATGTATTAATGTCCATTGTTTAAATAGTATAAAGTACGTTTTTTGAGGGGAAAGGGGGTAACTTTCTATGCTATAAGAACGAATTAAGCATTGAACGTGTATCTCCTTTACTCGCTTAACGACCAAATCACTTAACGACCAAATCACTTCACGTCCAATAACTTAATGACCAAATCACTTAACGACCGGTTTCGTCGGTGAACAGCACAAAGTCAATGACATTTATAGCTGGGGGTGAGCAGCTACAACATGGGACCTTTTTTGCCAGTATCAAAGTATGAAAATATAAGAATAGTTTTTACCCTGTACTGATAGGTTCAGTATTGCAGGCAAGAGGGGTACTTAGGCCACTCCCGGCCATCGCAGTATCTGACGTGGTGTTGGTGGTTCGTGACTTGCATTCGCCATGCATTTTCAAGGAGGGGAGCGTTCACTGTCACAGAGCTCCACATTTCTGTGACCTGTGGGCATTTGACGTCTGCAGTACCGCCGAGTAAAAAGGCCAGGGGTCTGAGGCTGCACGCTGCTTCTGAGTTTAGCTCAGGGGTTTGAGGCTGTAAGCTGCTCTGGCATGAGGTCAGGAAGAGTTACGAGAGTCAAGCCTCTCTTACTTGTTTGGGCTGAATTTCGGGGTTGACGCGAGCAGGCCGATCATTTTGGTGTTGTGTTTGAGTTGCATTAAATAGCCGCCCCAAAAAAAAAACATGTCCGTCGTATGAGTCGGTGGTTCTTCATCTTCCGACAGACCGTGCCGAGGAGCGGCCGCACGTCGAGAGCTCGGCTGGAGCTGGACGGCTTTCACGAGTGGGTTTCGGAAAAGAGGCCCTGACGGACCCTGACCCAGAACCTCACAGGAACCCCCCCCCCCCCCCCGATGTACCATTCATCCGATCAAGATTTACGTATGGTGTTCCGAGGTTTATTTTCTATCTGGGTGATTAAAAAGCGCATTAGCTTCCCCGTCACTGTCCCATCCATACGTAGAAAAGCGACCCTTTGGGGGCACACCCAATGCTGAAACTTGGGGGAGGGAACCAATACGTGGCCCCAGCCGGCAAGAAGCAGCCACAGAGAAAGTAGGAGACCTCCTTGACCAAGGATGGGAGAGGTGCTGCCGTTTGATCGGTTACAGAGCAACATTGAAAATCCTTACATGTCCCCATTTCTGCAGATACTTACAGACAATAATTTACATTGATTTGTAAGGCGCCTTCACGAATGTCTCAAGGAAAGTCCAAGAGAGAGAGAGAGACGGAGAAGCTCAACAGAACAAACTGACTTAAGAAGATGGTGTTTTGAGAAGAGACTTAAAAGTGTTCACACTGTCGGATGAAAGAATTTCCAGCAGTCCAGAATTCCACCACCGTGGCGCAAACGCAGCGAGTGGCCGCTCACCACCTAGGAACGCAGATCAGGGGACGCCACAACAAAAGCACCCGACAGAAAAACCTGGATGGACCCCTCCCCCCCCCATAATAGACTGGTTGGAAGAGCTACAGCTTAAATAAAGATGAGCTGAGGGTTACCACATGCTGGGCGGGAAATGCGTCGGGAAAAGATCAGCAAACCAGGAAGCTCATGCGACTTTTTTGCTCGTATCAAGGTATGAATAATAAGAAGAGGTGTTTACCATTTCTGACGGTAATAAAACAGGAGGTGTTTTAAGATATTCAAACACCAAATAGTATTACATTAACCACACACACTTGTGGTGAACATGCAAACAAAACATGTTATGATGATATATGCATTGTCTTTGAAACTGATTGGGCTATACATCCTAACACCTGTTTTATTGCCAAATGGTAAAACCTATTCTTATTTTTCACACTTTGATCCTGGCAAAAATGTGTCCCATGATATTGCTGCTGCTCACCCCGACCTATAAATGCTCTGATAAGTGCGTTTTCTTTGTACTGTTCACTTTTTGGTGTTGTTTTCTGGTCTGACACTGATGAGACTAGGCCACAAAGAAGGCTGTCCCTGGTATAGGCCAATTAGTTTCAAAGACAATGCATATATTATATACTGTGTAACCAAAACACTTTTTTTTGTTCCTGAGTAGTAAGTGTTATTTCCGAAATGCTTTTGACTCAAAAGTACAGACAATGGCTGTTATTCCCCATAAAACTTTGCTTTTGTGACCAGGACAGTGATATTTTTAATGTACCTATTTTCAATGAGAAAACATGTGCATTTGTACTATGAGACCTCCTTTACCAGTGGCAAAATATAGTAATAGGTTTTTACCCTTTCAACTGGTACAAAAACTGACACCTTTATACAAGGCATCATGTTTGCAATAACCATAACACAAGCAGTAAAAATGCAAACACAAAGAAACAACTCTGATGATTTGTACCAGTTGAAAGGGTAAAAACCTATTACTATATTTTTCCACTTGTAAAGGAGGTCTCAGTGTAAATGCTTACCCCGAGCTCTCAATACTCTGATAGTGCGCTGACTTTGAGTTGTACGCCTATTGGCGTCATCTGATCCAACACCAATGGAGACTAGGCTCTAAGAAAAGCTGTCTCGGGTGTGGACCAATCTACTTCAAGGACAGTGCATATCATTATCATCATCAGAGTTGTTTCTTTTGTTTGCAGTTTGACTGGTTGTGTTGTGGTTATTGCAAACATGATGCCTTGTATAAAGGTGTCAGTTTTTGTACCAGTTGAAAGGGTAAAAACCTATTACTATATGCATTTGTGTCTTTCATTAACATAAAGTCCTGGTCACAAAAACAAAGTTTGTGGGGAATAATAGCCATGTTCTATACTTTTTAGGCATAAGCAATTAAAAAATACCACTTAGTACCCAGGGAAAAAAATGTTACGTAATTATCAGAGCATATTTTTTGTATGTTCTCCACAATGTGTGTGATTGATGCAGTAACTTGATTCCTTGCAAACAGTATCTGTTTCTTATTTTTAAAATCAGGAAACTCCAGAGCTGAAACCTTCCCACTAAGAGATAACACCGCAGAAACGTTTCCCAGTATGGCAAGCTCTGAGGTCTGGGCCTAAAGTCAACACTTGTGGGGGCCGTTGGCCCCCGGGGTCCCTCCCGCCTGCATCCCCTATTCCGTTTACGTTACCCCACCTCCCTATTACTCGCTACGGTTTCGCCGGCATTCGAACGCGACGCCCCTACTGTTACAGCCTCGCGCCGCGCTCCCACGCTGCGAGCATACGTGCGCACATCATCGTCAATCAAACGCCGTGCTCGCAGTATAGCCCTGTGCGGCACGTTACCAATGCGCATCCGTATCCGACATGTAACGAACGTATGCACACACACACACACCGCTCCGTACACTCCAACTCCACACCGACTACGCAAGTTATGATCGCGCACCTGTATCACACACGGAGTGAACACACGCGACACCCACTCTTGCGCCGCTCTGCGCAGCGCTCGCCGCCTGCTGGCCGCTTACGTTATGATCGCGCACCTGGGGGACGCCGATTACGCACGCCGCGAGCTTACGCACACACAGTACCATACGCGTTCCCACACGCTCACACTGCACGACAAGATCACGCGAGACCACGCTTCGCTATTAATGATTTATTACCTGGTAACTAATGTTGAATCAGTGAGTCGACGAGGCTGGCCTATTCCACTAAACCGGCACCTATTCCCTATTTATCGGCTATGATTCTAATTCACCTTCTTACTGTTAAGTGTCCACGGCGGTCCGCTGATCCTTGTGTTAACCGCGTGCCTCGGTGCGTCGCACGGACGTCCGGGTCGCTGGCTCGAGCTGCGTCTGGTCGCCTGGCGCTGGAGTAAGAGAGCGATTTCCCCTCTGCGCCCCTCTATTTATCCTCCCTCCCTCAAAGGGGATGCTGCGCTGAACAATGGGCTCGCGCACCCCGAGCCCACGCACGGCGGTTCCGGGCGCTGTTGATATGCTAATCAGTGAGCGACGTTGGCGGCGTACATCCTAATTAACCCCTTACCCTCCCTAACAATGGGGCCTGCGCGCTCAAGCGCAATTATCCCAACCCTCCATGACTATGCGCAACAGCCCCTGTAATCCCGCTATTCATGCTGTCCCGTGCCTCCCCTGCTTGCCCCGTCGACTCGTGGGGGTGTGTGTGGGGGGAAATGCGCCTCAACCGCGGTGGCCGAATGCCCCACGCCGCGACCACACCATATTAAGGCCGGCCGCAGCGCCGCGGTGCCACGTAGCACGGGGGAGGTCATCCAATTCCCTGATCGCCGGAAACCGTGAGAATTAATCCCGATAAGGGTCTCTCGGATAAAAACCGGTCGGCCAGGCGACCTCCCCTCGGAGCTCTATGGGGGGGGGGGGGGGGGGAAATGAGTGCGGGTGTGTTCATGTGAGGTGAGGTGAGGGGGACGCGGGGTCGGCTCCGTTGCTTGGTGGTGGCGAGGTCGGGGATTTGGTGCCTGCCGAACGGCTTCGCGGCGGCGGCATCACACACTGCTAAGACTCATGCAGAGTTTAAATCCACGCATGGACACCTTAAACAACAAACAGAAGGGCAAAATTAATTGGGGAATCCTCCCGATTGTCTGTCATCTATCCCTGGGCACAAGACAAACTATCGACAGGCGTTTTGCTCATGCCCGGACGTCGAAAAAGTAATAATAAAAGATTCCGGGCTTCTTTAGTGACATTAGGTAATGGATAAGACGTGAGCATTTGAGAGAGGAACGGTAGGAGGTTAAGGGGAGAGACTACTTAATGCACAACATCCCAGAAACGGAATATTGTCCACTGCCGGGAAATACAATGGGCAGTGGTTCCTGCTGATAGGGGTCTGAACGTGCCAATAAAACAAACACTGATCGTCATGACCAATCCGAACCACTTTATTGCAGAGTGCTGATTCCGAACGATTCCCCAGGCTGTGGGTCTGGGAAACCGCGATTACACAACACCAATCACTGTGAAGAGTACGATTAAGGTAAAATTATCGATCGTCATCATGATCGCCATCATCGTCATCGTCATCATTGTCGTCAATCACGGCCAAACGACACCAGCCCACTGATCACGACGTTTAATGGAGAGCGTCGTGGGGGGTTATTTAACACTCTCGACGGTATCACCGATCGGAGATATACGGAAGAGAGTCAGGCGTGGAGTTGGGGGGGAGCGTGTATTTGCCCATGTTACGTGGCCATTGTTGGATCCGTGAATCGAGGTATCATTTGTATCGATTCAGCCCAAAGTTGATCGGGCAGCCATCATGAATATGTCGATTTATTTATTTAAAGGGGCACCATGGTGGCTAGAAAATGTTAACTACCTCGTCTGGTATGCAGGAGGTCGGGGGTTCGATCCCGACCACTGATGCCAGCTGTATATTTGGGAATGTGCGTGTCTCTCTCTCACTCCCCATGGTCACGTGGATCTCTTCTCCGGGTCCTCGTGTTTTCCCCTCCACATTTAGAAACACGCATTGAGATTATTTAGATTATTTTTTTCCCGACATAAATGTCCAAATGGTAAGCTCACTTTGTCCGGCAGCTATTATATGTGGCCAGCTCACATCTGAAAAAATAAGTTAATACATCATTGGCCGTTGCCTGGTAGGATGGTTTAGTTGTATTTGTATGTGTTTTGGTGATTAGTTTAACTTTCTTGTACTTTGCACGACTACCGTGTTTGTGTGTTGTACTGGACATGTGTGACAAAACAGCTTTATAGCTAATCGAATTCCGCCTCCTGCAGTCTAAATGCAATGTTCTGATTCTACACTGGCAATTGATTGAATGGCGAGCGATTACTCGGGATTACGACTAACTCGGGATCGAGTAAGTCGTGCGACACGCATCCTCCGCTTTCATTTGCTTGCCGGCTTTACGTCCGGCAAGATCGGTGAATCCGTCACACTCCGCTTTTTAACTGGGTTGGGTGTAATTTGGGGTTGGGGACGACCGCAACAGCGACGACGATGACAGCTCGGCCTCAGGGCCACGTGCACACATGAATTTCGGCGCTGTACACCAGGCCTTCGGGGCACGCCTTGTCAGACGTCGCTCCATTGGCGCAGTGGTAGAAGCGGTGGGAGTCGCTTGCGTGGGGGTAGAGGCCGTCGCTCTGCCCTGCGCAGAACGAATCGCCAGCTGCCGCCAGAGTCCCCGACGGCCGTCCGGTCCCGACGAACGCGGCAATGATGGCGTCGGCGTCCGCGTCAGTGGGTACCGAATCCTCCTCCCGCGACGTTTCCCCGGAGGTGGGGCTCTCCTGCTTGCTGCTGCTGCCGCTGGCGGTGGGGGTGGAGGTGGCACCGCTCTCCTTCGAGGCCAAGGTGTCATACAGCCTCGGCAATGTGCACTGGCCAAAGGTGCCTGGCAGGTCGGGGAGCGGAGGGGGGTAAGGGGGGTGGCGAGGGTTCAGTGGGCGAAACGTCGTCGCGTTTGCGGGGGGAGCTCCGCTCTACTAAGCTTGCCGGGGACACCTGGGGACGTAATTGGGAATCGACTCCGAACGGAATCGGAGGTGAAAGGCCGACGAGGCAAGGTATTTAACCAACGTAGTGTGCAGTGTATAGTGCATTGTGTAGTCTATAGCGGTATAGTGTTTAGTGTAACTTATAGTAGTGTAGTATATATTATTGAAGTTGATATTGTAGTATATAGTAATGTGGTTTATAGTAGTGTAGAGTATAGTAGTCTGGTGTATAGTGTAGTGTATAGTGTAATGTATAATAGTGTAGTATATAGTAGTATATAGTAGTGTAGAGTAGTGTATATTTGTACCTGTTGATGATTGCTTGTGTTGCAATCGAAACGTATGATATTATTTAATTTATTTTTCTTTCTACGTGACTTTAACGAAAGAACCAAAGAATAGTGTATAGTAGTTTATAATATATTAGTGTATAATACTGCATTTCATAGTAGAATAATGTAGTGTATAGTAGGGTAGAGGTGTGTATAGTAGCAGAGTGTATAATAGTTTAGTATATACTGTAGTACATAGTGTAGTGTATAGTAGTGTAGCATATAGTGTAGTATATAGTAATGTGGTGTATAGTAGTATAGTTTTTAGTAGTGTATAGTATATAGTAGTGTAGTGTATAGTAGTGGAGTGTATAGTGTAAAATAATGTATAGTGTAAAATAGTGTAGTGTATAGTAGTGTAGTGTATCGTCGTGTAGTGTATAGTAGTGTATTATATAGTGTAGTGTATAGTAGTGTATAGTGTAGTGTATAGTGCAGTGTAAATAGTGCATAGCAGTGTAGTGTATAGTAGTGTATAGTGTAGTGTCAATTAGTGTATGGTATAGTAGTGTAGATTATAGTAGTGTATAGTAATGTAGTGTACAGTGTAGTATATAGTAGTGTATAGTGTAGTGTAAAGTAGTCTGGTGTATAGGAGTGTAGTGTATAGTGTAGTGTAACATAGTGTATATTGCAGTGTATAGTGTAGTGTACAGTAGTGTATATAGTGTAGTGTTTAGTAGTGTAGTGTATAGTGTAGTTTGTAGTGTATAGTGTAGTCTAAAATAGTTCAGTGTATAGTGTATATAGTATCGTACTGTACAGTAGTGTAGTGTAAAGTAGTGTATAGCAGTGTAGCGTATAGTAGTGTATGGTGTTGTGTATAGTGTAGTGTAAATTCGTGCATTGTATAGCAGTGTAGTTTACAGTAATGTAGTGTACAGTGTAGTGTATAGTAGTATATAGTGTAGTGTAAAGTAGTGTCGTGTGTAGTAGTGTAGTGTATGCAGTGTATAGTCTAGTGTAAAGTAGAGTGTAGTGTATAGTATATAGTGTAGTGTATAGTAGTGTATTATATAGTGTAATGTAAAGTAGTGTAGTGTATAGTGTAGTGTAAAGTAGTGTATAGTATATTGTATAGTTGCGTAGTGTATAGTAGTATGTAGTGTGGTGTATAGTGTAGTGTATAGTAGTGCACAGTAATATAGTGTATAGTGTAGTGTATAGTGTATAGTAGTGTATTGTATAGTGTAATGTAAAGTAGTGTGGTGTATAGTGTAGTGTATAGTAGTGCACAGTAATATAGTGTATAGTAGTATGTAGTGTGGTGTATAGTGTAGTGTATAGTAGTGCACAGTAATATAGTGTATAGTGTAGTGTATAGTAGTGCATAGTAATATAGTGTATAGTGTAGTGTATAGTAGTGCATAGTAATATAGTGTAATGTAAAGTAGTGTAGTGTATAGTGTAGTATAAAGTAGTGTATAGTATATTGTATAGTTGCGTAGTGTATAGTAGTATGTAGTGTGGTGTATAGGTAGTGTATAGTAGTGTATTATATAGTGTAATGTAAAGTAGGGTGGTATATAGTGTAGTGTATAGTAGTGCATAGTAATATAGTGTATAGTAGTATGTAGTGTGGTGTATAGTGTAGTGTATAGTAGTGCATAGTAATGTAGTGTATAGTAGTGCATAGTAATATAGTGTATAGTGTAGTGTATAGTAGTGCATAGTAATATAGTGTATAGTGTAGTGTTTAGTAGTGCACAGTAATATAGTGTATAGTGTAGTGTATAGTAGTGCATAGTAATATAGTGTATAGTGTAGTGTATAGTAGTGCACAGTAATATAGTGTATAGTGTAGTGTATAGTAGTGCACCGTAATACAGTGTATAGTGTAGTGTATAGTAGTGCACAGTAATATAGTGTATAGTGTATAGTGTATAGTAGTGCACAGTAATATAGTTTATAGTGTAGTGTATAGTAGTGCACAGTAATATAGTGTATAGTGTAGTGTATAGTAGTGCACAGTAATATAGTGTATAGTGTAGTGTATAGTAGTGCACAGTAATATAGTGTATAGTGTAGTGTATAGTAGTGCACAGTAATATAGTGTATAGTGTAGTGTATAGTAGTGCACAGTAATATAGTGTATAGTGTAGTGTATAGTAGTGCACAGTAATATAGTGTATAGTGTAGTGTATAGTAGTGCACAGTAATATAGTGTATAGTGTAGTGTATAGTAGTGCACAGTAATATAGTGTATAGTGTAGTGTATAGTAGTGCACAGTAATATGTGTATAGTGTAGTGTATAGTAGTGCACAGTAATATAGTGTATAGTTGTATAGTAGTGCACAGTAATATAGTGTATAGTGTAGTGTATAGTAGTGCACAGTAATATAGTGTATAGTGTAGTGTTAGTAGTGCACAGTAATATTGTATAGTGTAGTGTATAGTATGCATAGTAATATATGTGTGTGTATAGTAGTGCACAGTAATATAGTGTTAGTGTAGTGTAGTATGCACAGTAATATAGTGTATAGTGTATGTATAGTAGTGCACCGTAATATAGTGTATAGTTTAGTGTATAGTAGTGCACAGTAATATAGTGTATGTGTAGTGTATAGTAGTGATAGTAATATAGTGTATAGTGTGTGTATAGTAGTGCACAGTAATTAGTGTATAGTGTAGTGTATAGTGTGCATAGTTAATAGTGTATAGTGTAGTGTAGTAGTGCACAGTATATAGTGTATAGTGTGTATAGTAGTGCACAGTATATAGTGTAGTGTATAGTAGTGCACAGTAATATAGTGTATAGTGTAGTGTATAGTAGTGCACAGTAATATAGTGTATAGTAGTGTATAGTAGTGCACAGTAATATAGTGTATAGTGTAGTGTATAGTAGTGCATAGTAATATAGTGTATAGTGTAGTGTATAGTAGTGCACAGTAATATAGTGTATAGTGTAGTGTATAGTAGTGCATGTAATATAGTGTATAGTGTAGTGTATAGTATGCACAGTAATATAGTGTATAGTAGTGTATAGTAGTGCACAGTAATATAGTGTATAGTGTATGTATAGTAGTGCACAGTAATATAGTGTATAGTGTAGTGTATAGTATGCACAGTAATATAGTGTATAGTGTAGTGTATAGTAGTGCACAGTAATATAGTGTATAGTGTATGTATAGTGCACAGTAATATATGTATATTGTGTGTAGTAGTGCACAGTAATATAGTGTATAGTGTAGTTATAGTGCACAGTATATATGTATAGTGTAGTGTATAGTAGCATAGTATATAGTGTATAGTGTAGTGTATAGTTAGTGCAACAGTAATAGAGTGTATAGTTAGTGTATAGTAGCACAGTAATATAGTGTAGTGTATAGTATGCACAGTAATATAGTGTATAGTGTAGTGTATAGTAGTGCACAGTAATAGAGGTTGTGAGTGTATAGTAGTGCACAGTAATATAGTGTATAGTGTAGTGTATAGTAGTGCACAGTAATATAGTGTATAGTGTATAGTAGTGCACAGTAATAGTGTATAGTGTAGTGTATAATAGTGTATAGTGTGTGTATAGTAATGCACAGTAATATAGTGTATAGTTAGTGTATAGTAGTGCATAGTAATATAGTGTATAGTGTAGTGTATAGTATGCACAGTAATATAGTGTATAGTGTAGTGTATAGTAGTGCACAGTAATATAGTGTAGTGTATAGTAGTGCACAGTAATATAGTGTATGTGTAGTGTATAATAGTGTATAGTGTAGTGTATAGTAGTGCACAGTAATATAGTGTATAGTGTAGTGTATAGTATGCATAGTAATATAGTTATAGTGTAGTGTATAGTAGTGCACAGTAATATAGTGTATTGTAGTGTATTAGTGCCAGTAATATAGTGTAGTATGTAGTTGCACAGTAATCTAGTGTATAGTGTAGTGTATAGTATGCACAGTAATATAGTGTATAGTGTAGTGTATAGTAGTGCACAGTAATATAGTGTATAGTGTAGTGTATAGTAGTGCACAGTAATATAGTGTATAGTGTAGTGTATAGTAGTGCCACAGTAATAGTGTATAGTGAGTGTATAGTAGTGCACAGTAATAGTGTATAGTGTAGTGTATAGTAGTGCACAGTAATATAGTGTATAGTGTAGTGTAAGTAGTGCACAGTAATATAGTGTATAGTGTAGTGATAGTAGTGCACAGTAATATAGTGTATGTATGTATAATAGTGTATAGTGTAGTGTATAGTAGTGCACAGTAATATAGTGTATAGTGTAGTGTATAGTAGTGCATAGTAATATAGTGTATAGTGTAGTGTATAGTAGTGCACAGTAATATAGTGTATAGTGTAGTGTATAGTAGTGCACAGTAATATAGTGTAGTGTATAGTAGTGCACAGTAATATATTGTTAGTGTATGTATAGTAGTGAACAGTATATAGTGTATAGTGTATGTATAGTTCATAGTAATATAGTGTATAGTGGTGTATAGTAGTGCCAGTAATATAGTGTATAGTGTAGTGTATAGTAGTGCATAGTAATATAGTGTATAGTGTAGTGTATAGTAGTGCCATAGTAATTATGTATAGTGTAGTGTATAGTAGTGCACAGTAATAGTGTATAGTGTAGTGTATAGTAGTGCACAGTAATATTGTATAGTGTAGTTTAGTAGTGCACAGTAATATAGTGTATAGTGTAGTGTATAGTAGTGCACAGTATATAGTGTATAGTGTAGTGTATAGTAGTGCACAGTAATATAGTGTATAGTGTAGTGTATAGTAGCACAGTAATATAGTGTTAGTGTAGTGTATAGTAGTGCACAGTAATATAGTGTATAGTGTAGTGTATAATAGTGTATAGTGTAGTGTATCGTAGTGCACAGTAATATAGTGTATGTGTAGTGTATAGTAGTGCACAGTAATATAGTGTAGTGTAGTGTATAGTAGCACAGTAATATAGTGTATAGTGTAGTGTATAGTAGTGCACAGTAATATAGTGTATAGTGTAGTGTAATATAGTGTATTAGTAGTAGTGCACAGTAATATAGTGTATAGTGTAGTGTATAGTAGTGCACAGTAATATAGTGTATAGTGTAGTGTATAGTAGTGCACAGTAATATAGTGTATATAGTGTAGTGTATAGTAGTGCAGAGTAATTAGGTATAGTGTAGTGTATAGTAGTGCACAGTAATATAGTGTATAGTGTAGTGTATAGTAGTGCACAGTAATATAGTGTATAGTGTAGTGTATAGTAGTGCACAGTACTATAGTGTATAGTGTAGTGTATAGTAGTGCACAGTAATATAGTGTATAGTGTAGTGTATAGTAGTGCACAGTAATATAGTGTAGTGTAGTGTATAGTAGTGCACAGTAATATAGTGTATAGTGTAGTGTATAGTAGTGCACAGTAATATAGTGTACGTGTAGTGTATAGTAGTGCACAGGAATATAGTGTACAGTGTAGTGTATAGTAGTGCACAGTAATATAGTGTATAGTGTAGTGTATAGTAGTGCACAGTAATATAGTGTATAGTGTAGTGTATATAGTGCCAGTTAATAGTGTATAGTGTAGTGTATAGTAGTGCACAGATATAGTGTATAGTGTAGTGTATAGTAGCACAGTAATATAGTGTATAGTGTAGTGTATAGTAGTGCACAGTAATATAGTTATAGTGTAGTGTAAATAGTGTATAGTGTAGTGTATAGTAGTGCACAGTAATATAGTGTATAGTAGTGTATAGTAGTGCACAGTAATATAGTGTACAGTGTAGTGTATAGTTGCACAGTAATAGTGTATAGTGAAGTGTATAGTAGTGCACAGTAATATAGTGTATAGTGTAGTGTATAGTAGTGCATAGTAATATAGTGTATGTATAGTAGTGCACAGTAATATAGTGTATAGTGTAGTGTATAGTAGTGCACAGTATATAGTGTACAGTGTAGTGTATAGTATGCACAGTAATATAGTGTATAGTGTAGTGTATAGTAGTGCACAGTAATTAGTGTATAGTGTAGTGTATAGTAGTGCATAGTAATATAGTATAGTGTAGTGTATATAGTGCACAGTAATATAGTGTATAGTGTAGTGTATATAGTGCATAGTAATATAGTGTATAGTGTAGTGTATAGTAATGCACAGTAATTAGTGTATAGTGTGTATAGTAGTGCATAGTATATAGTATAGTGTATGTATAGTAGTGCACAGTAATAGAGTGTATAGTGTAGTGTATAGTAGTGCACAGTAATATAGTGTACAGTGTAGTGTATAGTAGTGCACAGTAATTAGTGTACAGTGTAGTGTATAGTGTGCACAGTAATATAGTGTACAGTGTAGTGTATAGTAGTGCACAGTTATAGTGTACAGTGTAGTGTATAGTAGTGCACAGTAATATAGTGTACAGTGTAGTGTATAGTAGTGCACAGTAATATAGTGTACAGTGTAGTGTATAGTGCACAGTAATATAGTGTATAGTGTAGTGTATAGTAGTGCACAGTAATATAGTGTTAGTGTAGTGTATAGTAGTGCACAGTAATATAGTGTACAGTGTAGTGTATAGTAGTGCACAGTAATATAGGTATAGTGTAGGTATAGTAGTGCACAGTAATATAGTGTATAGTGTAGGTATAGTAGGGCATAGTAATATAGGTATAGTGTAGTGTATAGTAGTGCACAGTAGTCATTGATAGTGTATAGTGTAGTGTATAGTAGTGCACAGTAATATGTGTACAGTGTATGTTTAGTAGTGCAACCAGTACATATAGTGTATGTGATAGTGTACGTAGTGCATATTATAATATAAGTGTATAGTGTAGTGCTATAGTTAGTGCAACAGTAATATAGTTGTATTAGTGTAGTGTATAGTAGGTGCAACAGTAATATAGTTATAGTGTAGTGTATAGTAGTGCACAGTAATATAGGTATAGTGTAGTGCTAGTACGTAGTGTATAGTTGTAATCCTGGTACTGTGTTGTGTATAGTAGTGTTTCAAGTCAGTTGCCACCGTAGGTAGCGGCGTGGGAGCATTAATACAAGCGACGAATTGAAAATCAATGAGACCGACTCATTGCAGATATTCTTTGCTTGTTGCAAAACCAAGAGAAGATGACTACGACGACTTTAGATACTGCTATTAACCTATAAGGCTTCAAAAGGACTCATCCCACATTACTTGCAGGAACTAATTACATGTATATATACCGCAAGGTCCTTTAAGATCTTCAGATCTCCCTCGGCACTGCCAGGGTCTCGGGTTGAGCTCTTTTGCCGATCAGTGCTTTTGTTAGCGTGGCAGCCACAAGCTATGGAACGCCTTGCCACTCAAAATCAGGCAATCAGAGTCGGTAGATCGATTTACAACTGCTTTGAAAACCAATCTCTTTAAAGTGGCCTTCACTCTCTAGTATATCCGGTTGGACCCTGGTTCTGTTTTTGTTTTACGCGCTTTTCGTGCATTGGTGCATTGGGATCCTAGAATGGAATGGCGCATTGCACATTTGAATTATTTTTTATTGCTCACCGGTGTCGGTGGTGAGGATTTTCTTGACGAGCTTGAGGAGTGGGTAGGCTTCACCTTTGCACGCTTTGCCCGTGAAGTCGTCCATGTCCAGAGACCACATCATGGCACCTCCCAGACCCTTCAACTTGAGCCAGCACACCTGGGAGGGACGGGGAGGGAGTCAGAGCCACTCTCCCCTCTCTCACCACCACCGCTACCACGTGTAGCAGCAGCATAGACACCACCACCACAACCACTACCGCGTGCAGTAGCAGCATAACCACTACCACGTGTAGCAGCAACATAGCCACAACCATTGCTACCACGTGTAGCAGCAGCAATGCCACTACCACCACCACGTGTAGCAACAGCATAGCCACCACTACGACATGTAACAGCATAGCCACCACCACTGCCACCACGTGGAGCAGCAGAATAGCCACCACCACCGCCACGACCACCGACACCACCAATACCAATACAACTGCCATTCGTCACTAAGTGACGGTGACGTTACCACGGTCCCTGTGCCAGGCCAGATGCATTTTGAGGCCACGTGAAGTGTCGAAGGCTCGCTGCTGACGAAAGGTCTCGGGACAGACCCAGCAGGTGCCATAGGTTGGCTGACTGAGATGACCGGTAGATGCACCACCACCGACTGTGCCAATTTGCTGCATTTTATCCACCCAGCGATCCGCTCATTGTTGTGAGCGTCGCTCCTCTGCCCTCCGTTGCTATTGAAGGGCGACTTCCTCCAACTGCACAGTAGCATCCTTCACGATCATCCTCCATGCAGGGCAATCTTGACACTGCTGGTACCAGTCATCGGTAAGTCCACTCAGCTCCACATCCTCCCGTACCTATCAGTCCATCCCTTCTATAGCTCGTGCTGTGCCCAATTAGCCCACTTTATGCGGTCAATCAGCAGCTTCTTCGGCATACTGTGGTTGGGCATGCAGGCGACATGGCCCGGCCAATGCAGCCTTGCCTGCCAGAGGAGTGTGAGCTCCTCACGCAATCCAGCCTGGTTAAACCCAGGATGGATCGTAGGCAGGCCAACCTGAATGTTTCTAACTGGCACAGATCTTCCATTAGAGAGGTCCACGTATCACAAGCATAGAGGAGGGGGGGGGGCATGACTGTGGTCAAGAAGTTACAATCTGTGCGGTCCCCCTAAGAGGGGGACCACTGGGGCATCCTTCTTATCCTGCAAAACCCGTCCTGTGGTCCAGACAATTGTGATGATGTCATGTAGGGCAGTCTGCACACAGATGCCACCCTCCCTCAGAATTTTGCTTAGGAAATCATCTCTGCCTGGTGCTTTTCCTGGTCTCAGACTCTGGATCGCCCTTCGCACTTCCTCCACAAATGGCACCTCAGCCAACCACTCAGATAGGGTGGCTCATTTTCTCAATATTTGAGGTACGGCAGCCCTAGCAGGGCCGTCCCCACATTGCCCCATGATGTTGTCTGGGCTGAGGGAATTCCCCTCCCCCAAGACCTCACAAAATGTTCTGAACACCTGCAGACCTGTTCCTGGTGGTTGGAGATCAGATCACCACTCGTTCCCTTAAGGATGGTGATAGGCGAGTTACTTTTTTTTATGGAATTAAAGAGTGATTTGTGATTGCGGGCTACTGAGGTAGATTCCATTTCCTCAACAACCCGCACCCACCACTCATCCTTGCTGTGCCACATGGCTCTTCGAATCTCCAAGCGAAGACTGCGGTAAGCCTCCTCATTATCCAATGTTAGATGTTGTAGACGACAGGAGTGGGCCTGTCGTTTTCTCTCAACCAGCCGGAACACCTCCTCCTCCAACCAGGATCTTTAGGGAGGTCTGAACCGCATACCCAATGCAGCCATTGCAGCTGTATAAGCCACAGTCCTGAACCTCAGCCATTTCCCCTCAGCAACACAAGGAGTAGGGACGATGCCAACCCCAGATACAAGCGATGTTGACATTTCTGCTTGCAACTATCCTGAGCTAGCTGAGACTAAGTCCACCGCCACCACCACCTTCACCACGACCACTGCCACCTTCACCACGACCACTGCTACGACCACCACCACCGACACAACCACCACCACCACCGACACAACCACCACACCCACCACCAACTCCGCTACTACCCACCACCACCACCGCCACAACCACCACCACTATGCGCACCTTCTGCCTGTAGCTGGGGATGTCGTCGTAGCCGACCCACTGGCCGCTGCGGTAGATGGAGCGGTAGGCGTAGGGAACCTTCTGGTCGTCGAGCCACACGCGTTTGTAGCCAGAGTTGAGCAGAGGGCACACCTTGCACGGCACACAATGGAAGATGTTCAACCCATTTCCAACCCCGCCACCGCCGCATTATAGCCTGAACAACAATGTTACCCCCTACCTGTAAACGTGCATTGAGGTTGTTGCAGAATCCCTCTTAGCGAGCACCCCTGTTAATGACTAAACGCTTAACGACGGGTGTATAGTGGTGTAAATTAGTGTAGTTTATAGTATATCGTAGTGTAGTGTATACTAGAGTATCGTAGTGTAGTGTATTGTAGTGTAGTGTATACTAGTGTAGTGTATAGTAGTGTATAGTGGTTTAGTGTACAGTGGTATAGTGTATAGTAGCGTAGTGTATAGTAATGTAGTGTAGTGTATAGTAGTCTAGTGTATAGTGGTGTATAGTAGTATATAGTAGTGTAGTGTATAGTAGTGTATAGTGGTGTATAGTAGTGTAATGTATAGTAGTGTAGCGTATCGTAGTGTAGTATGGTAGTGTAATGTATAATGTGTATGTGTGGGTGAGTCGGTATGTGAGCGAGTATGAGGGTGAGTGGCTGTGAGTGTGTGTGAGTGAGTGGGTGTGTGTGTGAGTGTATGTGTGGGTGGGTGAGTGAGTGTAAGTGAGTGGATGAATGTATGAGTGAGTGTATTATTGAGGGTGTGTAAATGGGTGTGTGAGTGAGTTGGAGAGTGAACGTGTGAGTGCGTATGTGTGAGTGGATGAGTGGGTGAGTGAGGGAGTGAGTATGTGAGTATGTACGTGAGTGGATGTGTGAGTGAGTGGATATGTGAGTTTGTATGTGAGTGGGTGTCTGATTGAGTGGGCGAGTGAGTGTGAGTGAATGGGGGGAGTGGGTATGTGAGTGGGCCTGTGAGCGGGTTTGTGATTGGGTGAGTGGGTGTGTGATTGAGTGAGTGTGTGAGTGTGTGGGTGAATGTATGTGAGTAGATGTGTGATTGAGTATTTGAGTGAGTAAGTGAGCGGTAGTGTAGCGGTTAGTGCTACGCTGCGCTATGAACCTAGCGACCTGGGTTTGATTCTCGCTCAATGCCAACATCAGTGACGATTATCCGAATCGGTCCTGGGCCTCCCTTAGGTCGACTCAGCCTCAAATGAGTACCTGGCCTTCATAGGTGCTGCTCGCTAATAGCACTTGCCCCTACAGTCTGTTACAAGCGACACGGGGATCTTTGTCTTTGTGTGTGAGTGTGTTAGCCTCTCACCTCGTAGTAGGCCAGTATGCCTTTCTCCTTGGTGTAGGGTCCGGCAGAGCCAAGTCCGCTGACGGGCGCTCCGATGCCAGTGGAAGTGGTGCTGAGGGTGAAGGAGCGGCCGTACAAGGGCAGCCCAACCACCAACTTCTCCGGAGGGACTCCACCCCTCAGCCATGTCTGCACCGACGATTCCTGGGGAGGAGAGGGCCAAGGGCAGTTAAGGAGGGGATTGGAGGGGGGACTTGGTGGGATTTCGGGGTCACGACTGACGCTTTGCATGCGTTCATAATGAAGGTTTTTGGGTTAGATCGCGTTATTTATAAATGTGTCGTAACCCTCCACCACCCAACACGGCCAAACAGTAAAACATGTGTCACGTTGACAAGAGACAAATAGTTCATTACTTTAGCCCACCGGTGTGTTGAAGAGTGAATCCACAGCATTTACAATATTTTGAGCACGCCGTTTCGCTGGTAATTACATCCAGCATCATCGGGCAATTCGCCAGAATGGTGAATCCCTTACTTGCTCCTGGTCTTAAATAGAGCAGCAGGGTGACGTCATCATTTAACTCATTCAGGTGCAGTGATGCGTGTTGTACGTAGGTGTGTGGGTGCTAAGATCCCGACTAGGACCCGAGTTCAATTCCCGCTCAATGTTGGAGTGTATTTACTCTCCAACACACAACGGATGTGCTATACTAGTACACTACACTGTACACTACACTATTATACACTGCACTATACACTACACTATACACTTACACTATAATCGTAAACGCTGTAATGGGTTTACTCTCCAACACACAGGTGGTTAGTGCTGTGCTAGTATACCACACTATACAATATTATACACTACACTATGTACTACACTATACACTACACACTACACTACTATACACTGTACACAACACTATCCACTACACTACTATACACTACACTATACACTACACTATACACTACACACTACACTACTATACACTGTACACGACACTATCCACTACACTACTATACACGACACTACTATACACTACACTATACACTACACTATACACTTCACTATCCACTACACTGATATACACTACTACACAGTGCACTACAAAACACTACACCATACGCTACACTACTATACACTATACCATACACTACTATACACTACACTATACACTACACTATACACTTCACTATCGACTACACTGCTATACACTACTATACAGTACACTACAAAACACTACACCATACGCTACACTACTATACACTATACCATACACTACTATACACTACACTATACACTACACTATACACTACACTATCGACTACACTGATATACACTACTATACAGTACACTACTATACACTACACCATACACTATACTACTATACACTACACTATACACTTCCCTATCCACTACACTGATATACACTACTATACACTACACGATACACTACAACATACACCACTAGTGCTGCGCTGGTCACGAATTGGCCACGCGCTTTTGTTCACGTGACAACGCCTTCAACTGGTCGGGCTGCGCCGAGTGGCGTTTTAACCGACACCTCCACATATTCTTGGGTTTTTTCGGTAAAGTCACGTAGGTAAAAAAATTCCTGCTATAAGTTTTACCCACCAAGCAACATAGCAGGAGGCTGTTTCTTCCTGATCTGCTTTTTTGCTTTTACCTTCTACATGGCAGGGGCTTGGTCCCATTAGCAGCAGTTGCACTTTAACAACTCTGGCACCCCCCCCTCTCAGCCATTCTACATAACAAAGGCTCAGTCCTTTGTTGTGTAGACTAGCCGTAGTTTCAGCCGCACCAACCTTACCATAATAATAAAAAGGGGGCCTACCTTGGCTCCTCCCACCCTCAACCAATATATATACAAGGACTGTTTTCTTGGAATTTATCTTACTTGATACAGCAATCGTGCTGTGACGGTTCCACCTGAAGACGGAAGCTTGTGTTGCCTCCGAAACGTCGTGATTTTTATTTTATTTTACTTTTATTAATTTAAATTTTTTACCTACGTGATTTTACCGAAAAAAACCTAAGAATATGAATCATTGCAGTCACGAAAGCTTCAAATCTAGAATTGACACCTCCACACTCACGCGATCCAAACCAACCTCTCCCTTGCGGACGTTGCGACCCACCGACTGACACAGCAACAACACCGCCACAGGAGTGCGACGTGTTGGAGCGGAGAACAAATTGCTTATGAAAGAGTACGCATACAACACAGAAACACAGATACACGCCGGACGTGTGTTTTTTTTTATCTCAACTAGGCCCCATGATGTGAGCCGCTCATCCCCAGCTATAAAGTGCACTGATAGTGGCATTGCCTTTGTGCTGTTCGGCTTGTGGCGTCCTCTGGTCTAACACTGTTTGAGACTAGGCTCTAAAGAAAGATGTCCTCTGGTGTGGAACAATCAATGTCAAAGACAATGCCATCATACATTACAAGAGCATGTTTTTGTTTCCATGTTCACCACAATTATATGTGACGAGTGGTAAGTACCCGGCGTTGCCCGGGCAAAAAAGACAGACACACACATCGACCTACACACACAGACATGGACCCACACACACAAAGACATTGACTTACAAAGACACAAATATGGACTCACACACACACATACGTAGACTCTAACACACACATCGACATGAGCACACATGGACTTACACACACATATCGACTAAGATACACACACATGGACTTACACATATGGACCCACGCACACACATCGACTTCAAAATATGTGATGATGAATGCAGTACATGATTCCTTGCACAAGGTTTCTGTTTGGTGTTTGAACATCTTAACACAACTCTTGTTTTATTCTAGATTTGAAGCTTTCGTGACTGCAAGGATTCATATTCTTAGGTTTTTTTGGTAAAGTCACGTAGGTAAAAAATAAAAATTAATAAAAGTAAAATAAAAATAAAATAAAAATCATGACGTTTCGGAGGCAACACAAGCTTTCGTCTTCAGGTGGAACCGTCACAGCACGATAGCTGTATCAAGTGAGAGAAATTCCAAGAAAACAGTCCTTGTATATATACTGGTTGAGGGTGGGAGGAGCCAAGGTAGGCCCTGAATATTATTTTTGTGAGGTTCGGTGCGGCTGAAGCACGCTGTTAGGAATGAGCCTTTCTTGTGTAAACTATGTGCGGATGATGTAAAGGTGCGTGTAAAAGGGACTGAGTCTTTTTGTTATGTAGAGATGATGCGGCTGAAATCGCTGCCAGGAAATGAGTCTTTGTTGTGTAGAATGGTTGACTGAGCCTATTGTTATGTAGAGGTGGTGCGGCTGAAATCGCTGCCAGGAAATTAGTCTTTGTTGTGTAGAATGGTTAACTGAGCCTATTGTTATGTAGAGGTGATGCGGCTGAAATCGCTGCCAGGAATGCTCCAAAATGTGTAGTTAAATCTTTTTTGCATGGTTAATAACATCTTTCCAATGATTACTAAGTTTGTACCCATCATCACGGTTAAATTATGTTTGTGTTTGTATATTTGGATGGCCTCGTGTACAAACCTTTGATGGTAGCCAGGAGGCTTGCAGAGCCCCTTAGTCTCGGAAAAGACAATTTCATGAGAGCCCACAGCGTTGTAGCAATGATCGGCAGTGGCGGAAGAATCAGTTTTGCCGTGTTTCAGAACTGACTTGTGCTCGCGGACACGATCAGAGATATGACGTTTCGTTTCTCCAATGTAGCAATCACCACAACTGCAACTCAGTTTGTAGACTCCATGGTATTGTAAGTCAGGAATGACATCTTTCACAGATAGAATTAGATCACGGATTTTATGTACTGTACTGAATCGGACTTGAATCTTACGTTTGTTTAGAATTTTGGAGATATTTTTGGTCACGCCTGCTATGTATGGTAACGTGACAGTTTTGATCGGAGTTTCATGTGGCTGTTTCTGTATGGTGGGAGAAACAGCTTGGCGGATGGTGCGGTCAGGGTATCCGTTCATCCTGAGGGCCCGATGTACATGTCTTAATTCACTGGCCAGGTGGTGTTGGTCAGAAATGAGCTCTGTGGTATAGCGTTTTGATGAGAGAATTCGTTTGAGATGGGTGGTGGTGGGAATCGGGTTTCAAGTAGGAATCTGTGTGGGTGGCTTTCCTGTAGACAGAATGTCCCAAGGATCCGTCAGGTCTCCTCTCAAACAATATCTAAGAATGGTAGTTTACCATCTTTCTCCACTTCCATGGTGAATCTGATGGATGGGTGTCTGGAATTGATGTGGTCCAAGAAGTGGTTCAATGCTGGGAGGCCATGTGGCCAAATTACGAAAGTGTCATCCACATACCTCTTCCACAGGGAAGGACGCAGGGTGGATGTCTGGATGGCGTCTGATTCCAACTTTTCCATGAACATGTTGGCTATTACTGGTGACAAGGGGGAGCCCATAGGGGTACCCTCATTCTGTTTGTAGAAGGTGCCATTCCAGGTAAAATAAGTGTTGGTGAGGCAATGCCTAACCAGCGCAGGTACATCCGAATTCAATCCATGTTGGACCAAGTCCTCAATTATTGTTAGGGTGTCAGGTACTGGGACCTTGGTAAACAGAAATACTACATCAAAACTGACTTGTTTTATTCTTGATTTGAAGCTTTCGTGACTGCAGGAATCCATACTCTTTGGTTCTTTCGGTAAAGTCACGTAGGTAGAAAGGTAAAATAAAACAAAAATTCATATATCACGACGTTTCGATCGCAACATAAGCGGTCGTCCTCAGGCGGAAAAAATTTTCACTATACACTTCACTATCCACTACACTACTATAAACTACTATACAGTCCACTACTATACACTACACGATACACTACAATATACACTACTAGTGCTGCACTGGTAACGAATTGGCCACGCGCTTTTGTTCACGTGTTTTATTGCCAAAAATGGTAAAACCTATTCTCATTTTTGTAGATTTCCCGTAGCTCAGCATGGCGGATCGCCATCATGAGGTCTGTGTGTCGCCTCTGGGGCAATTGAAACCCAGGAGTTGTGTTTAAGATGTTCTAACACCAAAATAGACAAAGATCCCCAGTATAGTCTTAACAGACTGTAGAGGCAAGTGCTGTTAGCGAGTAGCACCTATGAAGGCCGGCACAGCACACGAGGGGGTGGGTGGCCAGAACCCCGCTCGGCCGCCTTTGTCTCCCCAGTGGCGATGTTTATGCACAGCACCAGGTACTCATTTGAGACTGAGTCGACCTAGGGGATTCCCAGGACCGGTTTAGATAATTGTAACTGGTGTTGACCGTGAGTGGGAATCGAACTTGTGTTGCCAGGTTCGTAACCAACATAGACACGCACACATATGCACGCAAACCTTTTACAAACCAAGTACGCATTAACCCTCACACGTACCCTGCGGCGAGTATGCGAGGGGGTACAGGAGACTCGACCCCGACCCGGGCGCCTGCTGCAGTCAAATTGGAGTCTGCGTGTCTCTCTTTTCATCATCACGGTGGCTAGGAGATGTTAACTCCCTCGCCTGGTGTGCAGGAGGTCGTGGGTTCGATCCCGACCCTGACGGGATGTTAACTACCTCGCCTGGTCTACAGGAGGTCGTGGATTCGATCCCGACCCTGACGAGATGTTAACTCCCTCGCCTGGTGTGCAGGAGGTCGTGGATTCGATCCCGACCCTGACGAGGTGTTAACTCCCTCGCCTGGTGTGCAGGATGTCGTGGATTCGATCCCAACCCTGACGAGATGTTAACTACCTCGCCTGATGTGCAGGAGGACGTGGGTTCGATCCCGACCCTGACGCCTGCTGCTGTGTATTTGGAGTCTGCGGTGTCTCTCTCTCCCCATAGTGAGATGTTAACTACCTCGCCTGGTGTGCAGGAGGTTGTGGATTCGATCCCGACCCTGACGCCTGCTGCTGCTGTATATTTTGAGTCTACGGTGTCTCTCTCTCCTCGTGGTCGCGTGGATCTTTCTCCCCATTTAGAGTCAACGTCTCCACACGTGTCGACTATTTTGGTTGCTTCTATAAATGTCCACGTGATGATGATGAACCACCACTTGATTGAGCTGCTTATCATTTATGGGTTTCGAAATGTCTATGTATCTCTATGTGTCTCTGTGTGTTTCTACGTGTCTCTATGTATCTCTGTGTCTCTATGTATCTCTGTGTCTCTATGTGTTTCGATGTGTCTCTGCATATCTATGTGTCTCTGTGTTTCTACGTGTCTCTATGTAGCGTTGTGTCTCTGTGTTTCGATGTGTCTCTATGTATTTCTGTGTATCCATGTGTTTCTATGTGTCTCTACGTATCCATGTGTTTCTATGTGTCTCTACGTATCTCTGTGTCTCTATGTGTCTCTACGTATCTCTGTATCTCTATGTGTCTTTACGTATCTCTGTGTCTCTATGTGTCTTTACGTATCTCTGTGTCTGAAAAAGAGATACAGCTCAGTTAGGTCTTACACATGGTAAAATAAAAAAAATAGTTTAGGTTTGAGTTTGGTCTGTGGGTCTCTATGCATCTCTATGTACCTCTGTCTATATCTGTGGGTCTCTATGTGTCTCTATGTATCGCTATGGGTCTCTATATGTATCTGCGTTTCTATGCGCCTCTGTTTCTCTATGTATCTCTCTGGGTCTCCATGTTTATCTATGTATCGTTATGGGTCTCTGTGTCTCTATGTTTCTCTATGCATCTCTGTGGGTCTCCGTGCATATCTGTGTATATCTACCGGTCTCCATGTATCTCTATGTGCCTCAATGTATTTCTATGGGTCTCTATGCGACATTAATGTCCACATGACGACGATGATGATGATGATGAGCCACCACTCGGTTGAGCCGCTACCATTTGCGATGTTCAGGTCAGGGCTTCTGACAAGAGAGCGAAACGGAAGCTTAGTTGGGGGCCTTCCTGTGACAATAAACAATAGTTTCATGAAAAATAAGAATGGGTTTATACCAGTGGCGGCTCCTGCAAAATCTCTCAGGGGGGGCAAATGTCTGGATGATTGATAAGGATAAGGTCCACCCATGCAATGGATAAATTAACAGCTTAAGCATGTAAAGGCAACTTCACTTCTTTAATATTAATGAAAAATAAAGTGACTCTTACAATACATCTTGTTTGTTTCTATACTCACTATTAAAACAAACCACTCAAGTTTATTTTATTAAAGATTCCACTAGATTTTGATTTAAAACTTTCGTGACTGCAGGGATTCATCTTCTTGGTTCTTTCGGTAAAGTCACGTAGAAGGGAAGTAATAAAATAATAAAAATAAAACATAATAAAATTATTCTCAAGACGTTTCGGCCACAACGCAAGCAGCCGTCCTCAGGTGAAAACCAGGTCCGTCGAGGCGACAGAGTCTGAATGAAACAGCACACGAGCTTGGAGCATATATATAAGCTGGGCGCCTTGACAAAGGAATTTGCATATCAAGAGGAATTTAGCATATTTATGGGAAATGCAGGAATTTGATTAGTACTGCATATGCATGTGCATTATGCAGGATTAACAGCATCAAAGGGAGCTGCAGTTGCTGCTGCTGCAGTTGCTGCTGCTGCTGCAGTTGCTGCTGCTGCTGCAGTTGCTGCTGCTGCTGCAGTTGCTGCCTTATCCATTTTAATATAACACTATGTATTATTCTACCCACCCTAATGTGTATCACACTGCTATATATTTACTATACAATTACGACACCATACATTACTCTGCACACTGCACCATGCCAGTGAGTGGAACGTTGTGGCCGAAACGTCGTGAGAATAACTTGCGCTGTGGCCGAAACGTCGTGAGAATAATTTTATTATGTTTTATTTTTATTATTTTATTACTTCCCTTCTACGTGACTTTACCGAAAGAACCAAGAAGAAGATTCCACTAGGTGGCGATAAATTATATTGTTGGATGAAACGTGCTTACATATGATGACGTTAGCACGTATGATGACGTAAGCACGTTAGGGCTTGCCCTCCCGGAAGCCATAGAGAATGCATTGGAGCGCCCGCCGTTCGAAAAAAACATCTTTCAATGTAAGTCTATGGGGCCACTCGGGGCGATTCTCAGCCGGAGTGAAATCGCCCAAAAAGAGGCGGTACTCCACAGAACGTGACATGACGCTGATTGGACTATATCCAGAGGCTGACAGTGACGGCTAGCGTGACTCTGTGGTTCAATGACATTGGTGGTGCGTCGCCCAATCGCCCTAATGAAGAAATCGCCCCTGGTTTATACCCTTTTCTAGCAATGAAACAGGAGGTGTGCTAAGATGTTCAGAAACCACATAGATTATACCTTTAGCAAGGAATTAAGTCTCTCTGCATGAAGCACACACAGTACTTGCGGTGAACATGCAAACAAACATGGCTGTCATAGTATATATCCGCATTGTTTTTTAAACTGCTTGGCCTACACCAGAGGCAACAGCCGCCTGTCTTCATGGCCCAGTCTCACCACCAAGTATCAGACCAGAGGACAACCCCCAAGAGGCGAACAGTACAAGGACAATGGCCACATGTGTGAGCAGAGCCACTTCGAGCTCGGGAGTGAGCAGCAGCTCTATCAAGTCCTTTCCGAGGCTTTGCTATCCTGTCGTGTCAGTGCATTGTTATAAAACAAAAACCACTAAAAACCGAAAAAACACAAAAACCACAAAAAAAACGAAAAAACTAAAAAAAAACAAAACCACTAAAAACCGAAAAAAACCTAACGACAAAAAAAAACGAAAAAAAAAAAAACGTGTGGCACCTACCAGGAGAATCTCTGGTAAAATTACAATAGATTAAAATATAAAGAGCTTTCTAGCTTTTCGGATTCCTACTCGCTCAGCGGGGCCGCAACCCGGTGGAAAAGGGAAATCGTTTTTTACGCCGAGCCGGGGCTCCCGATTCATTCCAACGGTGAGGAGAGCCGTGGAACGATTCACCGGATCGCCGTAAACCTTTCAGCAAGGGGGAATGACCCCCCCCACACCACCGCCTCTGGGCTCACCACTGTGTCCGTCTGGATGATGGACTTGGAGGCGTACAGGGGGCTGTGGTGACTCGTCTTCCCGTTCTGCTTCTGCAGGTCGTACGACATGAGGTTGATGAAGTCCAGGTGCCTGCACGCCGTGGAAAAAGCAGCCGCATCATTCCGTCTCTCTCTGTAGCTCTCTGTTTGTGTCTCTATGTCTCGATCTCTCTCTGTTTCTCTCTGTCTCTCTCGGGGTATGCATGTACATTATGAGACATCCTTTGCCAGTAGCACTTTGACTGCAAGTGTTGTGGTTATTGCAAACATGATCCCTTATATAAAGGTGTCAGTTTTGTTGCCAGATAAAAAGGTAAAAACCTATTACTATATCTTGCTACTGGCAAAGGAGGTCTCATAATGTAAATGCTTACCCCGAACTCTCAATACTCTGATAGTGCGCTATTTTTGAGTTGTGCGCCTCTTGGCGTCATCTGGTCCAACACCATGTGAGACTAGGCTCTGAGAAAATCCGTCTCGGGTGTGGAACAATCAATTTCAAGGACAGTGCATATCATTATCAGAGTTGTCTCTTTTTGTTTGCATTTTGACTGCAAGTGTTGTGGTTATTGCAAACATGATCCCTTGTATAAGGTGGCAGTTTTGTTGCCAGATAAAAGGGTAAAACCTATTACTAAATGTATGGGTCTCTGTGTTCGTCTGTGGGTCACTGTGTGATGAGTCTGTGGGTTTCTCTGTGAGTCTATAGGTCCTTTTGTGATGAGTCTACGAGTTTCTGTCTGATTAGTCTATCGGCCTCTCTGTGATGAGTCTTTGGGTCTCTGTCTGAGTTTTTATATGTGTGTACATTGAACTTCTTTCGCACCGAATTCAGCCAACCATGCTTATCGGAAGTGCAGGGGGAAAATAATAAACTATTTACTACAACGTATGAAAAATAAGAATAGATCATGAGACCTCCTTTGCCAGTATTAAATTACGATAATCGATTTTTCCACTTTCTGGCAATAAAACAGGTGTTAAGATGTTAAAACACCAAACTGAAACCTTTGCAACGCATCATGTCTGCATTAACCACATATATTTGTCATGATCATGCAAAGAAAACGCATGTTCTGACAGTATGTGCATTGTCTTTGAAACTGATTGGTCCACACCAGAGACATTTTTCTTTAGAGCCTCGTCTCAAACGGTGTTAGACCAGAGGACGCCAAAAGGCGAACAGCACAAACACAACACACTATCAGGACATTGAGAGCTCGGAGTGAGCAGCTACATCAGGTTCATGAGACTCGTGACTACTGGGCCTCCCCTAGGTCGACTCAGCCTCAAATAAGTTCCATGGTGTGATCGTGTGTAGTAAGCATCACAAGTGGGGGGAGACAAAGGCGGTCGGGCGTGGCGCTGGCCACCTACCCCCTCTTTGTGTGCCACACTGCCAGCCTTCATAAACGCTGCTGCTACTCATGACTACTAATAGCAATTGCCCTTAGAGTCTTGTCGATGTCACACGCGGGATCTTTGTGTGTGTGTATTGGTGCTGCTTGCTACCACCAGTTGCCCGAATACTCTGTTAGAGGCTTCCCGGGTGATCTTTGTCTCTGTGTGTGTATTGGTAGCTCACTACTAATAGCATTTGCCCCTACAGTCTGTCCCACGCTACACGGGGGACCTTTATCTTTGTGTGTGTATAGGTGGTCGCTACCAACACTTGCCCCTACAGTCTGTTAGAGGCTACACGGGGGGACCTTGGTCTCTGGGCTAGCGACTCACTCATGGATCAAGTTGATCTCGTAGGCGGCGGCCACCGTCGATTTGGCAGCGGCCACGGCCGCGGAAAGCAGCAACCGTGAACACCGCTTTCTCTGGGCGTCAACCGTGAAAGCTGCATTCGTCTCCTATAGACGCCACACAGGCACACACGCGGCGTGGTTAGCATCATCGTCGTCATCATCATCACCTCCATCATCATCACCTCCATCCGCATCAGAATCATCATCTCCATCCGCATCATCATCATCATCACCTCCATCATCATCATCGTCATCATCACCTCCATCAGCATCATCATCATCACCTCTATCAGCATCATCACCTCCATCAGCATTATCATCGTCATCATCGCCTCTATCAGCATCATCATCATCTCCAGCAGTATCATAATCATCACCCCCATCATCATTGTCATCATCACCTCCCTCAGCACCATCATCTCCATCACCCTCATCATCTCCATCATCATCACCTCCATCAGGAGCCCCACCACCACCTCCACCAGGAGCCCAAACCACCACCTCCACCAGGAGCCCCACCACCACCTCCACCAGGAGCCTCACCACCACCTCAACCAGGAGTGCACTGGCGAGGAGATGTTAACTACCTCGCCTGGTATGCAGGAGGTCGTGGGTTCGATCCGACCCTGATCCCTGCTATATATTTGGAGTCTGCGTCTCTCTCCCCATGGTCACTGCTTGGATTTTTCTCCGGGGTCCTCCAGTTTTTCGCTCCACATTTAGAAATCAACGTCACCACGCGTTTATACTGTTTGGCTGCTGCTATGAATGTCCACGTGATGGGAGCATAAGCCACCAACATGGTTGAGCAGCACTCATTTGTGGTGGCCAGATTAGGTCTTCTGAAAAAGAGCTACATAGCTTTAGTTGGGTCTTACCCGGTAAAATAAAAATTGTTTAACCATTTGTTCGTTTTTCCTAGACTTTGCACTGTTGTAACGTTACAACAGCGGGACCATCTGTGACTAAGTGGTAAAATGAAAACAAAAGAAGGAGCTTAAACGCAGTAGGACTCTCGATTATGACGGGCAGGACAGTCGCAGATAATACAAAATCGTGGACAATGAAAAACTATGACAATTTTGCATCGAATCTCTGTGGCTACTAATATAGGCGCATATTAGTAGTGACCTTTCGCCAGTAATAACAACAGCCAGCAGCAGCATCATGAGGCAGACAGCCACAGAGTTGTGGAGAAATCCTCCTCCTGCTTCGGTCTTAAATAGATGGGGCAGGGATGAAAGAAACGAAAGAGTTTATAGGAGGAGCCCCCCCCCGCTCCCCGTGTCACCTGGATGAGAAGGGTAAAGAGGTGCTTGTCGGTGGCTGGGCTGCCACGGTGCGCCGGGTACTCCCAGTCGTAGTCGATGCCGTCAAACTTGTACTTGTGAAGGAAGGCGATGGCAGACTTAATGAATTCCTTCCGGTTATTGGCGCAGGACACCATGCGGGAAAACCTACGCTCAGTCACATGATCGCCCGCTCAGCTCGCCCGCTCGTCCGCTCGCTCGCTCAGCTTGCCCGGTCGCTCGCTCAGCTCATCCGGTCGCTCTCTCGCTCGCTCGCCTGCTCAGCTCGCCCGCTCTGCTCGTTCGCCAGGTCGCTCGCTCACTCACTTGCTCACCCAGTCACTCGCTCACTCACTCGCCCACCTGCTCGCTCGCTCGCCACTCGCTCACCTGGTCATTCACTCAACTGCTCGCTATGTCACTCGCTCACTCACTCAGCCAGTCGTTCACCCGCTCAACTAACTCACTCAACAATCGGTCGTTCGTTCACCTGCTCGCTCACCCGGTTGTTTATCAGCTCGCTAGCTAGGTACGTCGCTCACGAACAGGCTATCACTAACACTGCGCCCCCTGGTCCTCTATGCATCTCTTTTGGTGTTGTTCTCTGTTCTGATACTGGTAGTGAGACTAGGCCATGAAGAAGGCTGCTGTCTCTGGTGTAGGCCAATCGGTTTGAAAGACAATGCACATTATTATTATGTTAACTACCTCACCTGATATATAGGAGGTCATGGGTTCGATCCCGACCCTGACAATGCCTGTTGTATATTTGGAGTCTGCGTTTCTCTCTCTCTCCCATGGTCACTGTGTGGATTTTGTCTCCGGGTACTGTGTTTTTTTCTCCTCTACATTTAGAATCAACGTCTCTATGCGTTTAGACTATTCAGCTGCTGCTATATATGTCCACGTGGTGACGACGACGATGATGATAAGCCACCTCTTGTTTGAGCTGCTATTATTTGTGATGGCCACGTCGCGGCTTCTGACGGCCTGGTAACGTTTAAGTTTGGGTCTTAATGAATATGGGTCTTTATGATTCTCTATGAGTCTCTGAATCTCTGTGGGTCTCTACGGATCTATGTCTCTCTATAAGTCTCCGTGGGTCAATGGCTCGTCATGAGTCTGTAGACATATGCCTTTAGAGTATTTGGCTGCTGTTATAAATTTCCACGTGATGAAAATGCTAATGATATCAGTCAATGCTTTGTTGAGCTTCTATCATTTATGATAGCCAGGTCAGGACTTCTGACAAAAGATCTACACAGTAGCTCAGTTGGGCCTTATCAGGTAAGTAAAGTAGTTTAGTTTTAGTATGTGAAGTGTTCTTGAAGACGCGTGGACAACGGGGTAAGGCACACGTATTTATTTGCACAATGTCTTTACAATACTGGAGGGATGTATCGGCCCCCTCACCCGTACAACTGGGAATTCACCCCTAGCTAGCCTTCCTAGCCGAGTCCTCCGCTAACGGGCTAGGGGAGGCTGTTCTGGCCCGACACTGGTCAGTCGGGCTACGGTACCCGGAATCCCAGAGATCTGACTCTGGTTCCGGGACCACGCCACTGGCTCCAGCCTGCACTGCCCTTACAAGGGCGGCGTCCCAGGGGGAGTCCAGGGCCTATCTGGCCGGTCTTCTCTCTTCCCTTAACTACACTAAGACTGAGCCCCGAGCTCTCTGGCTCAACCCTTTTTATACCCCCCTAGAGGATCGAAACCCCCCTCACGCCGTCCAGTACGGACGTCGTTGCGGGCACCACCCCGTGTGCTCACGGAGTCCCCGCCCACTGTGTTTGTTATCCGTTAGCCCCTATGCAAACAGCCCTACACAAACAGCCCCTCTGTAACAGCCCTACATATGGGTCTCTTTGAGTATGAGTCTCTGGGTCTTTGTGGGTCTCTATAATTCTATATGAGTTTCTGGATCTCTGTGGGTCTCTGTGGGTAGCTATGTTTCTATCTGAGTCTCTGGGTCTCTGTGGGTCTCTAGTTCTATATGAGTCTTTGGGTCTCTGTAGGTCTCTATGGTTCTAAATGAGTCTCTGGGTCTCTGTGGGTCTCTATGATTCTATATAAGTCTCTGAGTCTATCTTCTTTTTCTTATATATAAAAGTCTCCGCGCGCACTTGCGAGGGATTTGACAGGCAGCACGCCCTAAGCCCCGCGGTGGGAATAGGCAATCCCTTTTTTACGTCAATCACCTTTAAATTAGTTGAATTAGCGATTTAGTGCGATGTCGCTATATTTATCTATTTATTGCGCGACATCGGCTGTACTAACTCACGCCAATTGCGTGGGGGGGGGACCCTGCCAAGTGATGCGCGTTCGGTCGAGCTCACGGGCAACATTTTCATTTATGCGTTTAGCATGCAATAAATATACACAACGCTGCGGCTATTTCTTCACAGTGTGATGTCTTCTTCGCCCCCCCCCCCGCAACACGATGCGTGCAGTTACTGCTATAAAGTCAGTAGATATTAATATTATTACAGCGCTTACATAGCATTATTGTATTGTTATTGTTTACTATTATTAAACCAATACGTTGGCAGATGTTACAATAATAATTATTGTGTGCACAAAACAAATTTTTCATTATTAGGTTGCTAAATATTTCATTATTTAGCTGTGCTTTTATGACGCTGCAACAGTCTACTGCCAGTCTGTGATGTGGACTGCTACCTGCTGATTAATTAACGTCAGTGCACTGGCACTCTATTATCTACACTGCTAATTTTCCTTTTGACCATTACGAGTGTATTCCAGTCTATAATATGTTGCCTGCTTCTTTACCTCACTCAGTGTACTGCCAGTCTTTCATGTCGACTGTATTCTGCTTTTTCAGCTGCTGCCCGTATTGCCAGCTTTTAATGTCGACTGTGCAATGCTTATGTCATTGAGTCGGCGTACTGGCAGTCTATAATCTAGACTGTAGCCTGCTTCTCAACTTACCTGTGCGTACTGCTGCTCTTTAATTTACACTTATTTATGCTTATTTCTTGAATGCATTTCTATTGTTTCGATTGCTCACGTCACGCTATTTACTCATACGTAGTACTGCAATACTGATAGCTCTACCATCATCGGGGATTGCTGTGCACGTCGATGTGTGTGTGTGAGTCGATGTGTGTGTGTTTGAGTCCATATGTGTGTGCGTGTAGGTCCATGCTTGTGCTTAAGTTCATGTGTGTGTCTGGCTTTTTCGAACGGACAACGCCCGATGTGTGTGTGTATGTCGAAGTGTTTGTGTGTGTGTGTCAGTCCAAGTGTGCGTGTCAGTCCATTTGTGTGTGTGTATCAGTCGCTCTGTGTGTGTGTGTTAGTCAATGTGTGTGTGTTAGTCCATGTGTGTGCATGGCTCCATCTGAGTGGGTAAGTCAATGTGCGCTTGTGTGTCTATGTGTGTCAGTCGATGTGTGTGTGTACGTCGATGTGTATTTGTGTGTCAGTGCATATGTGTATGTGTTAGTCCACATGTTGGTGTCAGTCCATACATGTGTGTGTGTGTGTCACTCGATGTGTGTGTAAGTCAATGCGTGTGTGTGAGTCGATATGTGTGTGTTAATCCATGTGTGTGTATCTAAAGTAGATGTCTGTGTGTCACAGTCCATATGTGTATGTGTGTGTAGGGCAATGTGTGTGTGAGTCCACATATGTCTGTGTGTGAGTCCATGTGTTTGTGTGTGTGAGTCGATATGTCTGTGTGTGTCAGTCCATGGGCGTGTGTGTTAGTCGCTTTGTGTGCGTGGCTCCATGTGAGTCAGTGTAAGTCCATTTCTTTGCGTGTCTGTAGGTACATGTGTGCGTGTGAATGAATGTGTGTGCTTTATTGACCTGGTCAAGGTCTATGATACTATCAGTAGGCCTGGCCTCTGGGTCGTTCGTCCTGCTTGCAGAGTCCTTCACCCTCTGCTCACGATCATTAAGGACCTTCGTGATGGTGAGCGGCCCCGCGTCAAACTACATGGCCGTCAGTCAGAGCCATTCCCTCTACACCTTGGGGTGTGACAGGGATGTCCTCTGGCTCCCACATTATTTAACATATCTTTTGACCACGTAGTTCGTGAGGCCTTCAATGGCTGTACCGGAGGAATTACCATATGGTACAGATACAATAGGAGGCTGATCGATGCCCGGGTGCGGTCAAGGGATGGCTCCCTATTGCTCAACCATGTTAAGTATGCCGATGCTCTGGTGATTGCTGCTCACTCAGAGAAGGAGTTAGAGGCACTGCTGCTGAACCTGGAGCTTGCACTAAGAAGTGGGGCCTTACCATCAGCCCCACCAAAACTAAGCATCTGCCTGGGTATTTTGTACCATCGGACAATCCACCCCCACTATTCACAATTGGTGAACAGGCAGTTGCGCAGAGATTGGAGAGATTCCCATACCTGGCCAGTGTGCTCATGACCGGCTCCGGTTTAACAGCAGAGGTCTCATTCTAAATCAGTCGAGCGCCATTATCTTTTCATTGGCTGTGTTACGCTGTCTGGAAGCTACCTGGTCTCTCGTTCCGCATGAAGCTCCAGGTCTTCTCGGCCACGGTCATTCCCTCTCTTCTCTAGGCTTGAGAAACGTGCACCCCTCTAATGGAGCATCTTTGCCGGTAAGAAACATTTAGGCTGGCCTGCTAACGATCCATCCTGGGTTTAACCATATGTGTGTGTGTGTGCGTCTAAGTCGATGTGTTTCTATGTGTGTAGGTCGATGTCTGTGTGTAAGTCAATGTGTGTGTCTGCCTTTTTCGCCCGGGCAACACCGGGGACTTACCGCTAGTGGTTCTATATGAGTCTCTGAGTCTCTTTGGGTCTCTATGGTTCTATATGAGTCTCTGAGTCTCTGTGTCTCTATGGGTCTATATGAGTCTCTGGAACTCTGTGGTTCTCTATGATTCTATATGAGTATCTGGGTCTCTGCAAGTCTCTGTGGGTCTCGACGAGTCTCTGGGTCTCTATGGTTCTATATGAGTCTCTGTGCGTCTCTATGGTTTTTATATCTGTCTCTGCGGGTCTCTATAGTTATATATGGGGCTTCGTCCACGGTATACCACAGGTATCTCTATATATAAAATTGCAAATCTGTCTGTCTGTCCGTCTGTCTGTGTGTGTGTCTGTGTATCGGACCATACGCAGTTTCATTGGACGAAATGTCAGGGATTTGCGAGACACGATTGGTCCGGCGGTTGCCCCTGGCAACGGGTAGCGACGCATTCGCCGCGGGGTGGACGCCATTTTTAATTCCCGTTAAAAATAGGCGCACGCATTAACACGCGACTCTGAGGTAAATTCATCAAAGTTTCACGTCCTCTTCACTCCTCCCCCCCACCACAATGTGTGCAATTACTATTATAGGGTCGGTAGATTATAAAATTATAGTGATTAGACAGTATTATTGTAGCGCGGGGGGGGGGGGGGTAACGGCCCCCGTACCCAGCCTCAGCCGGGTGGGCAATTTAGGCGAGGCCGGAGGCTCTGCACGGTACTAGGCTTCGACACCCACCACGCGACTCTGAGGTAAATTCATCAAAGTTTCACGTCCTCTTCACTCCCCCGCCACCCCAATGTGTGCAATTACTATTATAGGGTCGGTAGATAATTAAATTATAGCGATTAGACAGTATTATTGTAGCGCGGGGGGGGGGGGGGGGGAACGGCCCCGGTACCCAGCCTCAGCCGGGGGGGCAATTTAGGCGAGGCCGGAGGCTCTGCACGGTACTAGGCCTCGACACCCCACCACACAATAGGCCGTACATATTACTGCACAGCGGCCGAGGAGATCGTGGCTGGGGGGGGGGGGGGGGGGCAGGGGTAGCAGCCCATCTGTGTATATATGTAAGGTTATTAAGAAATATATTTTTCACCCGGGCAACGCCGGGTACTTATGCTAGTAATTGTGTAAAGGAGTAGTATGACGACGTGACGTCATGAGCGCTGTGAGGCGCGATGACGTCATGTCATGGGGGATACTTTAGGCGGGACCCCGTGATGAAAGCGGGGTCGTTGTGGGAGACCGGGATGCAGAGCATCTAAAAGCAGGTCTCTCCTGCTCGTGACAGGACGGTGTTGGCTGATCCCCCGTCCGGTTCTACGAGTAGGAGAGCCAAAGATATAGCCAGGGGTAGGGCTCTAAGAAGGCTGTAAGAGCCAGCTAAGGTTACGTGGGGTGCTGCTCTCCTCGGTCGGGCTGTGTTGGCTGAACCCCAGTCCCGACTCGAGTGAGAGAGCCCAAGAGATAGCCGAGGCTAGGACCAGCTAGAGCCCGAGGTCCGAGTGAAGGACCGAGTGTAGGGCCACCTATCTCTGGTGTAAACCGTTATCGTTTTTGTTAATAAACTGGCGCAAGCCCTTACTAAAAGTTGCGTCTTGTAATGAATAAAAAACCCAGGAAAAACTCATCACTGAAAGAATGAAAAATTATCAATTGTGTCATGTTTCAGGCCCATATATGGTGTAATTTGGCCATGGATTTGCCCATATAATGTAAAACTGTAACGGGAATCGACGTATTGTTTGATGATCCAACGCTCAATTTAAAATGGCAATCGAATGATTTCTAACAATAAAGAGCATCGATCGAGCACCGATTGAGTGGTGTTCAAGCTATGGGATTTTGAGTATGTCTCTGTGATCAAGCATGGCTCGAGCGTGGATCAAGCTGATATATGTGGAATACCTGTGTGTATGTGATTGAGCATAGATCGAGCGTGGATCAAGCTGAGATATTTTTAATGCAAATGTTTACATCGTTAAAGCGATTCCTGTCGCGCGATTTCCGGATCGAAACCAACGATTCGTGGATCGCACCACGAATAGACAATTCGTGGATTAAAAAGCCACCACGTGATGCTGATTGGCTTCCCTATGCGTGAACAAAACTTATCATTCATTCTGTCATTTTATCGTTTTACAGCCGCCCCTGATAGAGACCCATGGATAAGTAGGTAGGAGGTGAAGGGGGTGGGTTGGAGAGAGTGAAAGGGGAGTGAAGGGATGAAGAAGAGGGTTCGAGGATTGGGTTGGGAGTGGGTGGAGTTTGTGCGTTCACCCACTTCTCCACGCCGAAGTTCCACCCTCCGATGGCGAGGAGGAACTTGAGATCAGGGTACCTGCCACAAAGAAGATCGGCAAACAGCAAACAACAGCAGTGTCAGTGTCAGTAGCAGAATTATGATTGGGGAAATAATGATAATCATGTTTGCTGCTGAAGATTGTGGTAATCATGCTACTGCTGATGCCACTGATGATGCTGATGAATGATGATTTGCAATGATTGATGTCCCTCCCTCCCTCCTCCTGCCCTCCCTCTCTCCAATCCCTCCCTCTCCTCCATCTCCTACCTCCCTACCATCCCTCCCTCTCCTCCCTCCCTCCCTCCCCACCCTCCCTCCCTCTCCTCCATCTCCAAGCTCATTCTCCTCCCTTCCTTCCTCTCCTCGCTCCCTTCCTACATCTCCTCCCTCTCCTCCTGTCCTCCCTCTCCTCCCTTCTTCCCTGCCCCTCCCTTCACTCCCGATCTTCCTCCCTCATTTTCTCCCTTTCCTCCCCTCCCTTCCTCCCTCCCTCTCCTCCCTCCCTCCTTGCCCCTCCCTCCCAACCCTCCCTCCACTCCCTCCATCCTTCCCTATCCTCCCTCCCCTCCCTTACTCCCTCTCCTCCACTCCCTCCCACCCTTCTTCCCTCCCTCCTTTCCTCCCTCTCCCCCCTCCCTCCTTTCCCCTCACTCCCAAACCTCCCACCACTCCCTCCACTCCCTCTCTCCTTCCCTCTCCTTCCTCTCCTACCTCCCTCCCTCGCTCCCTTTCCTCCCTCTCCTCCCTCCCCACCCCTCCCCTCCCGCCCACACTCCACTCACTTCAGCTTGATCGTTTTCATGGTGTTGTTGAACGTCTCCAGGTCGTTCTGCTGAGTGGTGATCACTTGAAATTTCTCGTCGAATCCGGCGAAGGCATAGATGATGTGCGTGCACAGGGTGGCGTCGACTTTGTCCATGGTGAAGCGGCCAATGCCTAGGCGGTGCTGGGACCAGTTGGTGAAGTAGCAGACGCGCTTGTACTCGGTCGCGGTGCCTGGGAGGGTAGAATGAGGGGGGAAGTAGGGGGAGGGGGGGGGAGTCCGTTAGCCCTCGATAATGGTCATCATCATGGTCACCGCCATCGTCATGGATACAGTCATCGTCATGGTCACAGTCATTACCGCTACCATCACTCTAATCGTCGTCATCACCACAGTCATCGTCATGGTCACCGCCGTCGTCATTGTTACAGTCATTGTCACAGTCATCGTCATGGTCACCGCCATAGTCATTGTCACAGTCATCGTCATGGTCACCGCCATAGTCATTGTCACAGTCATCGTCATCGTCACAGTCATTGTCATGGTAACCACCATCGTCACTGCGATCGCCACAGTCATCATCATGGTCACCGCCATCGTCATTGTCAAAGTCATCGTCATGCTAAGTCATCGTCATCGCCGCATGGCTCTCCAAACCTCCGAGCGAAAGCTGCAGTAAACCTCATTCTCTAACTTGGAATGTTGTGAACGATGGGAGTCGGCCTTTCGCTTTCTGTGAACCAGCTGGAACAACTCCTCCATAAGCCAGGGTCTCTGGGGAGGTCTGCACGACATACTCAGGATCTCTGTGGAGGTCTGGACTGCATACCGAGCATCTCTGGGGAGGTCTGGATGCATACCCAGGGTCTCTGGTGAGGTCTGAATGCATACCCAGCGTCTCTGGTGAGGTCTGGACTGGATACCCAGGGCATCTGGTGAGGTCTGGAATGGATACCCAGCGTCTCTGGCGAGGTCTGGACTGCATACCAAGCGTCTTTGGGGAGGTCTGGACTTCATAACCCGGGTCTCTGTGGAGGTCTGGACTGCATACCCAGGGTCTCTGTGGAGATCTGCACTCATATCCAATGCAAGGGGGGGGGGGGGCAATGCCAACTCCAGGTGCAAGCGATGATTAAATTCTCACTTACAACTTTCAATAGCTATCTGAGACCAGGTCACTGTGGGTTTGAATGGGGTCCTGGGTGTACTCTCATGACCGGAGTGGAAGAATGTCAAGCACATCTTACAGATGACAAGTCGATGGTCAGAGGGCAGATCAGCTCCATGATAGGTCCTGATGTCAAGGAAATGGGCCCGCATGCGCTGTTCCGTCACTATATAGTTCAGCGGATATTCTTACTTGGACCCATCCATGATGTTGTGTGGATGCGCCGATGTCGGAACAGCGTGTTGGTAATTACAAGCCCATGGGCTGCACAGAAGTCTAGCAGCCTCCTACCGTTAGGAGCGCCACTGTGGCTCGGAGATGTTTACTACCTCGCATGGTATAGAGGAGGTCGTGGGTTCGATCCCGACTCTAACGGCTGCTGCGTATTTGCAGTTTCTATGTCTCTCTCTCTTCCCCCGTGGTCGCGTGGATTTTTCTCCATATAGAATATTTGTCTGCTGCTATAAATATCTACATGGTCAGCCCCTTCGTTCAGCTGTAATTTAGGCAGGTCGCTTGTGAAAAAATGATCGTGTTTGAGATAACAAAGAGTGGTGGGGTTGTTGTTGTTGTTGAAAGCGGTGGTGGTGTTGTTGTTATGGTGACAAGGGGACAAGTGGGAGTGGTTAAGGAGGGGTAGGAGTAGTGATCGGGGTTGGGGTAGTGGTAGGGATAGTGATAGGGGTACTGATAGGAGCAATGATAGGACTAGTGGTAGCCGGTGGACTGGCTCTGGCTCCTGAAACAGGGGGTGACTGTTCTTCTGAACAAAATAATGAAGGGGGTGTGGGAGCGTGACGGTGAGGTGTGTGAAGCTGTAAGCCCCAGGCTACTGTGAGCTCACCTCTCCATCAATAAGAGGCGAGGAGTGGTGGTTGTTACTTATGCCCGCACCGAAAGACGAACATCAGTTGAGGGATGCAGGCAAGGCCGATTAGCCAGACGCCTTCTATGAACTCCTGTCACAGGTGCTAGCTAAAGTGGCCCCTCGTGATAGTCATCTTGTTGGGTGACTTTAATGCCCGAGTGGGTCATGGCGCTGGCACCTGGTCTGGAGTGATTGGTTAGGTATGGGCCAGATCAGCTCAATAATAACTATCAACTGGCAACACACGATATCTCAACCAAGTGGCTTATAATCATCACGTGGAAACGTATTGAAGCCAAATGGTAAAAGCACATGTTTATTAAATGTGGAGGGAAATAACTGGAGGACCCAGAGAAAATTCTGCACGACCACGGGGAGAGAGAGATAGAGACGTATACAGCAGGTATCAGGGTCGGGATCGAACCCACGACCTCCTGCATACCAGGCGAGGTAGTTAACATCTCATCAGGATCGGGATCGAACCCACGACCTCCTGCATACCAGGCGAGGTAGTTAACATCTCATCAGGATCGGGATCGAACCCACGACCTCCTGCATACCAGGCGAGGTAGTTAACATCTCATCAGGATCGGGATTGAACCCACGACCTTTTCCATACCAGGCGAGGTAGTTAACATCTCATCAGGGTCGGGATCGAACCTACAACCTCCTGCATATCAGGCGATGTAGTTAACATCTCATCAGGATCGGGATTGAATCCGCAATCTCCTGTCCACCAGGAGAGGTAGTTAATATCTCATCAAGGTCGGGATGGAACCCACGACCTCCTGTCCACCAGGCGAGGTAGTTAACTTCTCATCAGGGTCGGACCCGGGAAGATCATAGAGCAGCGACTGTCCATACCTTCGGTGAACACGATGAAGCTTCCAGCCACCAGGCCTGCACGCCACACAAAGACAAAGATCCCCCGTGTAGCCTTAACAGACTGTTGGGGCATGTGTTGTTAGCGAGTAGCGGCAGTGCCTAAGAAGAAGGATGGACATCTCAATGTATATCTCTGAATATTTATGCATCTCTATGTATATCTACTACTTTCTATGTACATCTCTGAGTCTCGGAGTCTCCATATATCTCTGTATTTCTATGACTCTCTATTAGTCTCTATGCATCTATATGAGTCTCTATGTATATCTCTGAATCTCTATGCGTATCTTTATATGTCTGGGTATCTCTATGTACAGTATATGAATGCGTCTCTATCAATCTCTACGTATCTCTATTAGTTGCTATACATCTATATGAGTCTCTGTATATCTCTGAATTTTTATGTATCTGTTTGTATCTTCTCTATGAGTCTATGTGTATCTATGCATCCCTATGAGTCTCCACGTGTCTCTATGAGTATCTTTGAGTAAGCATCTATATATATGAGACTCTATATGTCTCTATGTAGATCTCTAAGTCTTTATATATACAACTCTATGAATCTCTATGAGTCTCTATGTATCTCTCCATATCTATATAAGTCTATATGTACATCTATGATTCTCTACGTAACTCTATGAGTCTCTATGGATATATCTACGTCGCTATGTATCTCTGAGTCCCTATGTATATCTAGGAGTCTCGATGCCTCTCTACGTATCTCAATGTATCTCCATGTGTCTCTATGTATCTCGTTGTATATCGATGAGTCCATATTTATCTCTATGAGTCTCTATATACATCTCTGACTATCTGACTATGTGACACCAGGCATCTGGGTGTAGCTGTAGCGGAGTAGCTGTAGCTGTAGCAGAGTAGCTATAGCTGGCTATGAGACACCAGGCATATGGGTGTAGCTGTAGCGGAGTAGCTGTAGCTGGCTATGAGACACCAGGCATCTGGGTGTAGCTGTAGCGGAGTAGCTGTAGCTGGCTATGAGACACCAGGCATCTGGGTGTAGCTGTAGCGGAGTAGCTGCAGCAGGCTGTGAGACACCAGGCATCTAGGTGTAGCTGTAGCGGAGTAGCTGATCGGGTGATGTCACTCACACAGGAGGAACAGATGCGGTATCGTCCCCATGTCTCCGCAAGTTGCTTCCTGCAAAGGAGAATCGAAATCAATGGTTAGGCGTCCCCTACCCACACCCTATGTGCCTCTGGGCTCTGCGTGGAGACGATGGTGTACACCCCTTCGTCCCACCATTGGCTCACCCACCTACAAACTGGCCCAATATCTTGCAGTCATTCACTGGTAAGACCACCTCTTCTGTACTTAGCTCACCTGGTATTGTCAATTAAGGACATCTCTCTGTCCCCAGGTGATTTGGCTCGTTAGTTTAGATGTAGTTTCTTTGTTCACCAAAGTTCATGTGCCCAATACCATTGCAATCATTGAAGATTTTGTCCAACAATGATTGCATGCTGATGTACTGGCCCTGGTGAGACACTGCCTTATCAATACATACTTCACCTGGAATTGAACATTCTACAAACAAATTGAAGGCACCCCAATGGGTTCTTCCTTATCTCCGGTTGTTGCCTATATTTTAATGGAAAAATTTGAGATGGATACCATCCAGGTATCCACGCTATGCCCATCCTTGTGGAAGAGGTACGTGGATCACACATTTGTCATCTGGCCACATGGCCGACCAGCTCTGAACCAATTCCTCAACCACATCAATTTCATACACTCAGAGAGACATGGCCAAATTCACTATTGAAGGTAAATCATAGAAAACACAAATTAAGGTCGGGCACGTAAGTTACAACTACTTTGTTTAATCAAACCCTATGCATGTAATACATTCCTGCGGAGGGAGCTGGTAGGAACGTTGGGTTGCTCGGTCAATGGCCAGGGTCAACGGCGGCGTGGTGTATTCCGCAAATATGCCCGACTGTGAGGGCGGGCATAAGCCGGCGTGAGTAGGTTAAACGTTGAGTTTTATAAGGGCACCACGGGGTGACCAGCTCCTACCCACCCAGCCCCACCCCTCCCACCCCACCCCACACCCAGCCCCACCCTCCCTCCCCACCCAGCCCCTCCCAACCCTCCCCACCCAGCCCCTCCCCACCCTCCCCACCCAGCCCCACCCCACCCTTCCCTCCCCACCCAGCTCATCCCTGCACGACGGACACAATAATCCCCTGTGGGCTGGTGTAACCAGGAGGTTCATACCAATATTAACATTATGCACTTTTTTAACGATTGAGAGACAAAGGGGTGCAAGGCTGCAGTAAAGCTTTAACAACCACTGCATTGGAGTCGTTGGCTGCCGCTATAAATGTCGACATGATGAGAATGATGATAAGCCACTTTGCTGAGCTGCTATCCTTTGTGATGGCCAAGTCGCTTCTGAAGAAGAAGTTACACAGCTCTGTTGGTCGCTGTGTGATGATTCTGTGGGTATTTATGTAACGAGTATGAGGGTCTCTGTGTGATGAGTCGATGGGTCTCTGTGTGATGAGTCTTTGGGTCCCTGTGTGATGAGATTATAGGTCTCTGTATGATGAGTCTATGGGTCTCTGTGTGATGAGTCTATATGTCTCTGTGTGATGATTCTGTGGGTATCTATGTGATTAGTCTATGGGTCTCTGTATGATGAGTCTGTGGGTCTCTGTGTGATGAGTCTATGGGTCTCTGTGTGATGAGTCTATGGGTCTCTGTGTGAAGAGTCGATGGGTATCTGTGTGATGAGTCTATGAATCTCTGTGTGATGAGTCTATGGGTCTCTGTGTGAGTCTATGGGTATGTGTGTGAGTCTATTGGTCTCTGTGTGATGAGTCTAGGGGTCTCTGTGTGATGAGTTTGTAGGTCTTTGTGTGATGAGTCTATGAGTATCTGTATAATGAGTCTATGGGTATCTGTGTGGCGAGTCTATGGGTTTGTCTATGATGAGTATATGGGTCTTTGTATGATTAGTCTTTGGGTCTCTGTGTGATGAGTATCTGGGTCTCTGTGTGATGAGTCTATGGGTCTCAAATACACCCAAAACATATTAGTCTATGTTTTGGGTGTTTTTATATTTTAAGTGATTTGTTGACCTTTCCTATACTTTGCACTCCCATCGTGTAAAACGTCGTAAACGGGAAACCGCCCATAACCTACAGAAGTTGATTTTCCACCCCGATATATTTAACAAACTAAATCGGAGCGAATCGTCGAACAATCGACAGAGTAACTGTTAAATCACTTATCATCCGCAATTTAAGACGTAATTACCTAAGCTCCTAAAAGCCACACACTTATTGAAATCAAAGGCACTGCCACTAATAACGTGCTCACGATTACACACGCGGTGGTGTCTGCCTGTGTCTACAATTACATTGACACGAATGAGGTTAAACACACAGAAAGACAAAGATCCCCCGCGTAGCCTCTAACAGACTGTTGGGGAAAGTGCTGTTAGCGAGCACCTATGAAGGCCAACATTATGGCACACGAGGGGGTGGGTGGCCAGCACCACGCCCGGCCGCCTTTGTCTCCCCAGGGGTGATGTTTCACACAGCGCACCGGGTACTGAGTCGACCCAGGGGAGGCTGAGATGACCTAGGGGAGGCCCAGGACCGGTTCAGATCATCGCTATCACTGCTGCTATTGGTGGTGGCCTTGAGCGAGAATCGAACACGGGTGGTCGCCGGGTTCGTCGAAGCGCAGTTCAGCAGAGCGCTAACCGCTGCACCACCACTCCCCACGGGTTACGAACATACACACTTGTGGTCAAACTGGATCTCGGCTCCACAGATGACGATTATTGTAATCATCATTATTTTAATCTATCCACTTAATCTCTCACGAACGTCGAACGCTCAGAAATGTCACTTGCCAAGCACCTCGCGGAACTCAAATGCTGATGAGCGACAGCTCCGTGACATAGAGTGGCCCCGCGTGGGTGGATGGCGGATGGGTGATTGGGTCGTCGAGTGGCTGGTTGGATGAGTGGATGGGTGAATGGGTGGTAGGGTGGATGGGTGGTAGGGTGGATGGGTTGTTGGGTGAATGGATGGATAAGTGGCTGGGTGGATGGGTAGATGGGTGGTTGGTTAGATGGGTGGTTGGGTGGATGATTGTATAAGTGGTTCGGCGGATGGGTGGATGGGTGGTTGGGTGGATGGGTGGTTGAGTGTATGGGTGACTGAGTGGTTAGGTGGATGGGTGTGTATCTGTGTGTACGTGTATGTCTGGAGAGCGGTAGCGTAGCGGTGAGTGCTGTGCTACGAGCCCGGCCACCCGAGTTCGATTCCCGCTCACGGCCAACCACCAGTGACGATTATCTGGAACGCTCCTGGGCCTCCCTAAGTCAACTCAGCCTGTCGGGCGGTGTGTCGAAAACATCGCCACTGGGGAGACAAAGGCAGCCAGGCGTGGTGCTGGCCACCCACCCCCTCGTGTGCCACAGTGCCGGCCTTCGTAGGTGCTGCTCACTAGCAGCATCTTTGTCTTTTGCGTGGTCAACCTCATTCGTGCCAATGTAATTGTACACACACCGCCACCGCGCGTGTGATTATGAGCACGTAGCGGCAATGCCTTTGATGTCAATAAGTGTGGCTTTTAGGAGCTTACGTAATTACATTTTCAATTACGGACAACGTCTTCTTGGTTCTTTCGGTAAAGTCACGTAGAAGGAAAATATTAAAATAATAAAAATTAAACATAGTAAAATAATTCTCACGACGTTTCGGCCACAACGCAAGCAGCCGTCTTCAGGTGGAGAATAGGTCTGTCGAGAAGGCAGACCTGTCGAGAAGGCAGATCTATCGAGAAGGCAGACCTGTTCTCCACCTGAAGACGGCTGCTTGCGTTGCGGCCGAAACGTCGTGAGAATTATTTTTTCACGTTTTATTTTTATTATTTTATTATTTTCCTTCTACGTGATGACTTTACCGAAAGAACCAAGAAGATGAATCCCTGCAGTCACGAAAGCTTTAAATCGAAAAATTACGGACAACGTATTAGATAAGTGATTTGACGTGGCTGAGTATATTGTTCGACGACACGCTCCGATTTAGTTTGTTAAATATATCGGGGAGGAAAATCAAACTTCTGTAGGTTACGGGCGGTCTGACGTTTACGACGTTTTATATCAGAATCAGTCATTTAGACGGCAGGAGGTATCTGATGAGCTGTGAAGCTTTTTAGTCACAGATGGTCCAGTAAGCGGCACGCGGTTAGAACGTTACAACAGTAACCAATACGGACACAGGATGGGAGTGAAAAGTATAGGTAAGGTATCATGGGACCTCCTTTGCCAGTACCAAAATATACTAATAGGGTTTTTCCCCTTTTTTCGACCAGATGACTTTTGGCGTCATCTGGTCGAACACCATATAAGACTAGGCTCCAAAGAAAGCTGTCTCTGGTGTGGACCAATCAGTTTCGAAGACAATGCATGAATTATCAGAGTATTGTTTTTTGTTTGCATTTGACTGCAAGTATTGTGGTTAATGTAAGCATGATTCCTTGCAAAAGGTGTCAGTTTTGTTGCTATAAAACAGCGGAAAACCCCTATTAGTATACGTAAGGTAAACAAACCAATTACAATATAAATTAACCTAAACCAGAGACTCACACAGATACCCATAGACTCATCATACAGAGGCCCAGAGACACATCACACAGAGACCCACAGACTCATCATACAGAGACCCGTAGACTCATCACACAGAGATCCACAGACTCACCACACAAGAGACCCATTCACTCATCAGACAGAGACTCACAGACGCATCACACAGAGACCCGTAGACTCATCACACAATACACACAAACACACATACATTCAGACATACAACTGAACCATCCCACATCCTATCAGACAAAGCCTACTAATGTAATGATCAACGTATGTTTCTGAAGTGAACTGGCCAACCACAAATTATAGCTCATCAAACGTTGGGTTTATCATTTGGACATTGATAGCAGCAGCAACAACATCACTATTACACTAATAATCATCCATAAATGAGATGTATTTTGGGTTAAATCTCTGTAAATATAGATGTTGTGTCGTTAAACCCACCAACACTCGACACCACAGCTAATTAATTAAGGGTTTGTGCCCAAGGAAGTTACTTAGTTCAGCACTAACCGGTTGTGTGTTGGAGATTTTAACCCATAGCAAAATGTACAATTATCTCCAGCACACAGATAACCCGTGTGAAAAATAAGAATAGGTTCATACCCTTTCTGGCAATAAAACAGGAGTTGTGTAAAGATGGTCAAACACCAAATAGATTAAACCTTTAGCAAGGAATGCAGTCTGTGCACTAACCACACAGTGTTTGTGATGAACATGCAAACACACATGGCTCTGATAGTAATATTACATGTATTGCTTTTCAAACGGATTGCCCTATAACAGAGTACTCGTCTCACCACTCGCGTCATACCAGAGAACAACGCCCAAAGGCGAACGGTACAAGGGAAATGCCACACGTAGCAGAGCCACATTCATCTCCGGATGAGCAGCAGCTACATCATGGGATTCCTTTTTGCCAGTGTAAACGTATGAATAATAAGAATGAGTGTTTTCCCCTTTCTGGCAGTAATACAACAAGAGTTGTGTTAAGATGTTCAAACACCAAATGGATTATAGCTTTTGCAAGGCATTAAGTCTCTGCATTAACCACACAGTACTTGCGGTGAAGATGCAAACTTACATGGCTCTCATACTCCCCCCTCTCTTACCTATATAGCCTCTTGTCACAGCAGCCCTTTTGCCCACTTCAGCAATTGTTTCTTGCTGTGGTTGTCCCACCTGATAACGGACGCTTGTGTTGCGCCCGAAACGTCGTGATTTAATTTATTTTATTTTATACCTACGTGACTTTACCGAAAGAACCAAAGAGTATGGATCCCTGAAGTCACGAAAACTTCAAATCTAGATTACTATCTACGTGACTTTACCGAAAGACCCAACAAATATGAATTCCTGTAGTCACAAAAGTCAAGATTTAGTTGCATACCTGTCAACCCATACGGTTTAGTTTAACACGTAGACTTTCGTGACCAATATCATTCCATCCATAACACAGGTTATTCTTTTAGGTTAGATCGCTGAAATATAGAATTTGCCCCTGCTCTCCAGGTCGCAGGGTCAAATGTTTCCAAAGACCGGGGGGCTATGGGTGGATGTTTGACAGAAGTACCGTGGCTAAGGACTTCGGATGTCCTTTCTAAAACCATCAACGACAAACCTGTCAACCCCTAATCAGTGCCCTACCTTATTGCAGACCAATTCAGACCTTATTAGTGACCCCGTGCCCTTTAAAAATCTCAACGTTCATCCTACAAAGTCCCATCACAAGGGAGAAACACAAACAAATAAAAAAAAAATTCTTATTTTTTTGCCCGTATTGAAACGGCTGTCAACAGTGTGAAACTGAAAACTCAATTTCTCCTGTACAAAAATACGGTTAAACCGTATGGGTTGACAGGTATACTTCAACATTGGAGTCTATGAGAGGCTTTAACATTGGAGTCTATGGGAGATTTTAAGATTGGAGTTTATGGGAGACTTCAACATTGGAGTCTATGGGAGACTTTAACATTGTAGTCTACGGGAGATTTTAACATTGGGGTCTATGGGAGACTTTAACATTGGAGTCTATGGGAGACTTTAACATTGGAGTATATGGGAGATTTTAACATTTGAGTCTATGGGAGCGTTTAACATTGGGGTCTATGGGAGATTTTATTTTTGGAGTCTATGGGAGACTTTAACATTGGAGTTTATGGGAGACTTCAAAATACCTGTCAACCCCTAATCAGTGCCCTACCTTATTACAGACCTATTCAGACCTTATTGGTAACCCCGTGCCCTTTATAAATCTCAACGTTCATCCTGCAACGTTCCATAACAAGGGAGAAACACAAATATATATATATATTTATTAAAAGAATACAGGATAAACCGTATGGTCCATAAGACATTTTTTGGGTTAGATCGCGTAAATATTTGAGAAAATTACGTATAGAAACCCACAGAGACTCACAACAGATGCAGAGAGACTCATACAGACATATAGAGACTCATAGAGAACCCATTAGATACACATAGATACATATAGACTCAGAGACCCATAGAGGCACACAGAGACACGTAGATATATGGACTCATAGAGACTCATAGAGAACCCACAGAGACACATAGATACATAGAAACTCATAGAGACTCGTAGAGAATCACAGATACCGACAGATACCTCGAGGGACCCACAGGGACATAGATACCCATATATACAGGGACTCAGATACTCATAGAGACTCACAGAGCCCGACAGAGACACATATATACATAGAGACCCACAGAGACACATACCAGATGCAGAGAGACCCATAGAAACACATAGAAACATAGAGACCCACAGACACATAGAGACCCATAGAGACATAGAGACCCATAGAGACATATCAGATACATAGTAATACATAGAGATTCATAGCGACCCATAGAGACACACATATAGAAACAGATCCATAGAGACTCATACATACATAGAGGTTCATAGACTCACAGAAACCCATAACGCGTTATAAATACCCACAGAGGCACAAAACGACCCATATAGACCCACAGCCATATACAGATACCCATAGAGACACATAGAGACACAGAGACACAGAGACACAGAGAGAAGGCAGAGACACAGAGACACAGAGACAAGGCAGCTACACAGAGACACAGAGAGAAGGCAGAGACACAGAGACACAGAGACACAGAGACACAGAGAGAAGGCAGAGACACAGAGACACAGAGAGAAGGCAGAGACACCGAGACACAGAGACAAGGCAGCTACACAGAGACACAGAGACACAGAGACAAGGCAGAGTCACAGAGAAACGAGTCCACAGTTGCTCCGCTCACCTGTGGACGCTCGGAAGATCTGGGGAGCGCTGCGCGTGGTGGGATGGGATGGGGAGAGAGATGGGGAGAGATGGAGGAGGGTTGGTCCTCTGGTCTCTGCCGGAGTAGCCGATGCAACGCCGCCTTTTAAATTCACCCCGGGGGTGTGGGGGGCCGCGTGAAGAGAGGAGGGGAGAGGTTTGGGGACTCGGGGGACCCAATCAGAGGCCTTCCTTCCCTCCCTCCCTCGAAGACTCCGCAGCCATCCATCAGCACCCCAACAAGACAAAGATGACCCAGGTAGCCTCTAACAGAGTGTTGTGGGCAAGTGTTGCTAGTAACGAGCAACACCTATACACACACAGAGACAAAGATTCCCCGTGCAGCCTCATACAGACTGTCGGGGCAAGTGCTGTTAGTAGCGAGCAGCCAGCAGCACCGATGAAGGCTACCGGCACTGTGGCACACGAGGGGGTGGGTGGCCAGCACCACGCCCGGCCGCCTTTGTCTCCCCAGTGGCGATGTGTACACACCGAACCAGGTACTCATTTGAGTCTGAGTCGACCTAGGGGAGGCCCAGGACCAGTTCAGATAATCGTCACTAGTGCAGCCACACAGAGACACACACAGAGACACACACAGAGACACACACACAGTTACACAGAGACACACACACACACAGAGACACACACAGAGACACACAGTTACACAGAGACACACACACAGAGACACACACACACAAACACACGGAGACACACACACAGACACACAGAGATACACATGCAAAGATCCCACGTATAGCCTGAACATACTGTTGGGGCAAGTGCAGAGATGCACACAGAGATACACAGACCAATGCCAATACAGCCGCAAAGTGGCGGTGACGGCGCTTGTGCCAGGCTAGGTGCACCTTGAGGCCACGTTATGTGTCGAAGGCTCGCTGCTGGCAGGTCACGCGACAGACTCTGCAGGTGCCACATGGGTTGACTGCTGTGCCAGGCTAGGTGCAGGAGGAGGAGGTCACGGGACAGACCCTGCAGGTGCCACATTAGTTGACTGCTGTGCCAGGCTAGGTGCAGAAGGAGGAGGAGGAGGTCACGGGACAGACCCTGCAGGTGTCTATGGGTTGACTGATGTGCCAGGCTAGGTGCAGGAGGAGGAGGTCACGGGACAGACCCTGCAGGTGCCACATGAGTTGACTGCTGTGCCAGGCTAGGTGCAGGAGGAGGAGGTCACGGGACAGACCCTGCAGGTGCCACATGAGTTGACTGCTGTGCCAGGCTAGGTGCAGGAGGAGGAGGAGGTCACGGGACAGACCCTGCAAGTGTCTATGGGTTGACTGCTGTGCCAGGCTAGGTGCAGGAGGAGGAGGTCACGGGACAGACCCTGCAGGTGCCACATGAGTTGACTGCTGTGCCAGGCTAGGTGCAGGAGGAGGAGGTCACGGGACAGACCCTGCAGGTGCCACATGAGTTGACTGCTGTGCCAGGCTAGGTGCAGGAGGAGGTCACGGGACAGACCCTGCAAGTGTCTATGGGTTGACTGCTGTGCCAGGCTATGTGCAGGAGGAGGAGGAGGTCACGGGACAGACCCTGCAGGTGTCTATGGGTTGACTGCTGTGCCAGGCTAGGTGCAGGAGGAGGAGGTCACGGGACATACCCTGCAGGTGCCACATGAGTTGACTGCTGTGCCAGGCTAGGTGCAGGAGGAGGAGGTCACGGGACAGACCCTGCAGGTGCCACATGAGTTGACTGCTGTGCCAGGCTAGGTGCAGGAGGAGGAGGAGGTCACGGGACAGACCCTGCAGGTGTCTATGGGTTGACTGCTGTGCCAGGCTAGGTGCAGGAGGAGGTCACGGGACAGACCCTGCAGGTGTCTATGGGTTGACTGCTGTGCCAGGCTAGGTGCAGGAGGAGGAGGTCACGGGACAGATCCTGCAGGTGCCACATGAGTTGACTGCTGTGTCAGGCTAGGTGCAGGAGGAGGAGGAGGTCACGGGACAGACCCTGCAGGTGTCTATGGGTTGACTGCTGTGCCAGGCTAGGTGCAGGAGGAGGAGGTCACGGGACAGACCCTGCAGGTGCCACATGAGTCGACTGCTGTGCCAGGCTAGGTGCAGGAGGAGGAGGAGGTCACAGGACAGACCCTGCAGGTGTCTATGGATTGACTGCTGTGCCAGGCTAGGTGCAGGAGGAGGAGGTCACGGGACAAACCCTGCAGGTGTCTATGGGATGACTGCTGTGCCAGGCTAGGTGCAGGACTTCAGATGTTTACTACTGAACACCGCTGCACAAGATACTCATTTGAGGCTGAGTCGACATAGGGGAGGCCCAGGTTACGGTTTGTTCAAATAATCGCTATCACTGAGGGGTGGTGGTGGCCGTGAGCGGGAAATCGAACTCGGGTCTCCAGCCGGGTCCGCTCCCCATATCACCATCCCCACCCTCCCCCCACCGCTTCCATAGTTAGCAAGCTCCTATTTGTGTCTTGGTCGCGACGGGGGATGAAGTTTCCCGGCCGCCTTTGTCTCCCCCAAGTAAAATGGCTCAGATCACACAATGCGCCGCGTTACTAACGTCCGCGGTGTGGTGACGGCGGCGGTGGTGTACTCTTTGGTTCTTTCGGTAAAGTCACGTAGGTATAACATAAATTAAATCACGACGTTTCGGGCGCAACATAAGCGTCCGTCATCAGGTGGGACAACCACAACAATAAACAATTGCTGAAGTGGGCAAAAAGGCTGCTGTAACAAGAGGCTATATAGGTAAGAGAGGGGGGAGGAGCCAGGGAGGAGAGATAGAGAGGGGGGTGTGGGGTAGGGGAGTTGAGTGCTGCAAGTTAGAGGGATTACAGGGCGAGCAAGGCACGAGCACGACAAAATCCCGGGGGGGGGGGGGGGGGAGAAGTGAGCGGGGCTGGGAGAGGCTGAAGAAACTGGAGATGTGGATATTAAGACAACACCATAAAGCAGTTAAGGTTTTACCTGGTTAATAACATCTTTCCAATGATTGCTCAATTTGTATCCATCTTCTCGGTTGAAGTTATGAAGGTGGTGGTGGTTTAGCTCTGCGCTGTGCTGCCAACCTAACAGAGGCACCAGTTCGATTCCACCACCGACACCAGGTGACGATCATCTGAACCCATTCCTGGGGGCCCCTCTCTCCCCTAGGTCGACTCAGCCTTAAATGAGTTACCCGGTGCGATGCGTAGTAAACGTCGCCACCGGAGGGAGACAAAGGCGGCCGGGCGTGGTGCTGGCCAGTCCCAACCCCCCCCCTCGTGTGCCACATTGCTGGGCCCTTCAAACGTGCTGCTCACTAGCAGCACTTGCTCCGACAGTCTGCTAACAGGCTACACGGGGAATCTTTGTCATTGCCGTGGAGTGAGAGGGAGGTCAGAACGAACCCGGCGACCCCCGAGTTCGATTCCCGCTGACGGGCACCACCAGTAACGTTTATCTGAACCGGTACACGTAGCCTCTCCTAGGTCGACTCAGCCTCAAATGAGTTACCCGGTGTAGTGGTGTGGAGTAAACATCGCCACTAGTGAAACAAATTCAACAATATTTAAGCTTAAACTATTTTTATTCTTACACGTGTGACCAACAAGGTCTGACTTGGTCTGTAATAAGATAGGCACTGATAACGGGTTGACAGGTATGCACTCACCCACTCACTCGGTCATTCACTCACTCACCCACTCATCAACTCACGCACCGATCAACCCACTCACTCATCCACTCACTCACTCATCCACTCACTTATTCACCCACTCATTCACACTTATTCACCCACTCACTTACTCGTCCACACACTCAGTTAATCACGCACTCATCCACTCAATCACCCACTCACTCATCCACTCACTGATGCACCCACTCACTCGCTCAAAGCACTCACTCACCCATCCACTCACCCACCCACTCACTCTCTCAAAGCATTCACCCAATCATCCACTCACTCACTCTACCACTAAATCACTCATCCAACAACAACCACCATTCGCCACTAAGTGGTGGTGACGCCACCACGGCACTTGTGCTAGGCGATGTGCACTTTAAGGCCACTTGGAGTGCCATGGGTTGACTGAGATGACTGGCCGATGAACCACCTGTGCCCTCTACAGTCCCAACTTGCTCTGTTTTAGCCATCTGGCGCTCCGCTCGTTGCTTGAGCGTCGCTCCACTGCCCTCCGTTGTTGCTGGAGGGCGACTGTCTCCAACTGCCAAGTAGCAGCGTCTTTCACGAGCCTCATCCACAGAGGCTGATCTTGACACCGCTGATTGCAGTCATCTGCAAGTCGACTCAGCTCCACATCCTCTTGTAACACATCACTCCATCTCCTCTCTAGCCTATGGCGTGCCCATTTAGCTCCTTCAATCTGGCTGACCAGAAGTTCTTTGGGCATGCGGTGGCTGGGCATCCTGGCTACATGACGCAGCCAATGCAGCCTTGCCTGCCGGATGAGCTCACTAATGAGGCTGTGTCCAAATCTCTCGAGGATTTGTGAGCTCATCGCACAGTCCATCCTGGTTAAGCCTGGGATGGATCGTAGGCAGGCCAGCCTGAATATTTCTAACCAGAGAAGAGGCTCCATTATAGAGTTCTACGTTTCAAAAGCATAGAGAAGGGAGGGCATGACCGTGGCTGAAAAGACCTGAAGCTTCGTGTGGAGCAACAGACCAGGTAACTGCTACACAGCGTTACGCAACCGATCAAAAGATAACGCCGCTCGACTGATTCGGAGTGATACCTCTGATGTCAAACCGGAGCTGGTCATAAGCACGCTTCCCAGGTATGCGGAACTCTCTACTTTCTCCACAACTATTCCCGTCACCAATCGGGAGTTGAGAGGGTGGAGTGTTTGGTGACACAAAATACCCAGGCAGGTGCTCAGTTCTGGTGGGGCTGATGGTAAGGCCCCACCTCTAAGTGGAACGCTCCAAGTTCAGCAGCAGCGGCTCCAACTCCTCCTCTGAGTGAGCATCAATCACCAGATCATCAGCATACGTAACATGATAAACCAATAGGGAGCCATCCTTCGACCCCACCTTGGCATCAATTAGCCTCCTATTGTATCTGTACCATATGGAGATTCCTCCGTTCCAGCCATTGAAGGTTTCAC